GGCTTGCAGGCGAGCAGCTGCCCACCACCCTCCCCCGGCGCCCCCCCTGCCTGCCTCTGCTCACGAGGAGGCCGGCAGAGGGCGCCACCGTCCGCCGTCTCTGTCTTGGAGGGTGCGCGCGAGGGAGGCAGACGGGGGCGGGGCAGATTTCGCGCGAGCTAACGCGGGGGGTGCCGTTGTTGTCCGGGGGTGCTGGGGGAGGGTGGTGGGCCCCTGCGCCTGGGGGGCAATGGCTGCCCCGCCCCGGCGCCCGTCCTCCATCCACGCGCGCGGCAGGGGCATCAGCGAGCCCCTTCTCTGCAAGGCTGCGCGCGGGAGAAGGGCGGGGGGGGCACCAAGGCGCGCAGGGGCGGGGCACACAGGGGGCAGGCGGCACGGGCGGGCCACACCGCAAACGCGCGGGCGGGGCGTCACGTGCCAGCGCCTCGCATGGCGCGGACTATTAGTTCCCTTGCCTCCTTCCCCCGTCCACTGGCGCCCGCCCGCTGCCGCGCTTTGCGTTGTTGCTTGGGCCTAAGGCTTGCCGCCACGCAAACGCGCGCCCATTGCGGGCGGGGTCCTCGCGCTCGCGCAACGACGGGAACCACGGGCGCCCCATGGCGCTCCGCCTTCGTTCGTTCAGCAAGAAGCGGCGCAGATGCCTAGCCCCGTCCTGCATCAAAAATTTTCTCCCTTGCCCACCCTCTGGCGTTTTTCTTTCCCCCCTGTCCACTCGTTCACCCTCCCACTACGCGACATAAGCTGCAGCCTTGTAAATACAGTGGCGGCAAGTCGTATCTTCTCCGCATTTGCTCGTACGAGGGTCGTGAGGTTTCGTACGGCGTTCGCGCGTTGGAACCGTTTGCGGGCGTTTCGCTGATGCTCCGGTACACGGCCGTCGCGTGTTTCCGCAGCGGAATCAATCGCACGGTTTTCCTATGCATTGCAAAAGCATCCTCGTACTCGTATAAAAGAATGAAAATGCATTACAAATTAGCCCAGCATCACTACAACAAATTGAATTTGTAATGCTGATTTACCTTGGGAAAGAGATTTGTAATGCATGAACGCAATTTTTACTACGAGTGCGATCCTTTTGCACATGATATTTCCGGTCCCGCCGAATGTACCAAGGCATGCGGATCTCCTCCACGCCATTACGCAGCTGCGTCGAGTATCCAGCGAAAATATGTGTCTGGAAATAAGTTGTCATGCAGCTGATCGAGGAGTGACAAAACGACTACAGTACTACGCAGCCAAACATGACAGATCTTTTAACGGTCCTGTGACTTTGCGTCGGCCGCATGAGAAACTGCGTTTTTGAATGCCACAGAATCAGCGCTATTCCGCAAGAACGCGCATGACAGAGTTCGGAGGTATGGGTATTTCGCATTACAAATCTTGCATTGTTTGATTCTTCCAGACCTAGCCATATTTGCAGTGGATATGAAGAAGCGGCCCGTCTCGGTCTCGTGGACGTTAGGGTCCTCATTTAGAAACCGGCTATCGTGAAGAAAACCGTCCCCACACTAGGCAGAGTCAAGATGGGAAATCTGCTACACAAATCCCTAAGCTTTGGCAGTCGCGCATGACAAATTTGGGCTCGCAGTGTAGTCGTGTTTAGCTAGTGCAGCGGCATCACAGATCCAGTTTGTTATGCTGATTCGAGCATGACAAATCATCTCGCATCACAAGTAGAAAACGCCTCTCATGTGTCTCCGCATCAGAAACATTTTATCAAGGCATGCAGATTTGCGCTACAACTCTGGGGTGGGGACGTGCTTCCACAGCATACCGGCTCATCTAGTTCTACACAACAGTGTTGCAGTGAACAAACACCAGCACACCCGGCGGGCTCACGGTCGCAGTCTCGTCTCGGGAGGAAGATGAAAGACAGGCACTTCTTGCACTTACAGGAGGGCGGTAAGACAGGCGGGCCATGGCTTGGGTTTCTTCTTCGTTCTTCGCAAGAACGCTTTAGTAATGTAGTTTTTGGCGCCTGCGCCCATCGTAGGTCGTTCGTAGACACACTAAACTACTACAAAGCCAAAGCATTATGCCAGAAGAAGAGTGCGAATTTCCAGATTGGGTTTATCAATTTCGCAAGAATGCTACACCTCGAAGCAACTACTCACTCTCTTCAAACGAGATATGAGCCGTGGCGTCCGCTGCCAACATGATAGCCGGAACAAAAGAAATCTCCACGGCCGGAACGAGCAAGGCGACCACCCACGGGCAGGGCGGCTCGCTGCACGCTGGCCAGCCAGCCAGCAAACCACAAATAGATGTGTGACGCGCAGGGAGGAGCGTCACGCCACAACATAACATTGGCGCCACATAACATGGGCGCCACACAGGAGCGCGAGTTTGTGGGACGCCTCCCATGGCCAAGTAATGGCAGCCAGCAAGGCAATGAATGAAGCTAGCAAGCGCGCGGGCGGCGGGTCAGGGCAGGCACAACAGGATCAACGCCAAGCCAACCTGCGTCGCCCTGCTGGCGCAAGACAAACACAACAAGCCAGCCAGTCAGACAGCCTGCCAGGCCCAAGGCCCAAAAGGCCCTATTCGAGAATGGAGGAAGGGCACACAAATGCAACCCACCCAAGAGGGCCGCCGCCCCGAAACACTGCGCCCCCGCCGGAGGACCTGCGCCCGAAGCGGCGGGGGGGGTGGCTTGGCAACAAGAAGGGCCCGCGAAGAAGGGCGCGGGCAAGCAGGCCCGCAGGCCCCGGCGATTGCCGAGGAAAACACCGAGAAAAAAAGCGCGCGCGCTCGTCGTATGCTTCTTTTCGTCCCAGAGCCATGGGGCCGGCAACTCAACAGCGTCGCCATCACCAAGAAGATCCGGGTCCATCTGTCCGCCACGGTCAGCTTCTTGCCGAAACCCACGACGGCCAGGCACCCATTCCCGCGCGCCCGGCCCAACTGCGGCATCCTGGAAACACCGCGGCACTGCCGGCGGATCGCGCGCAACCAAGCCCGGAGGGGCCGGCCGGGCCGCGCCGGCCTGCCGGCCTTCCCTCCGGCCGCCCGGCCTGCCAGCCTCGGAGGCCGCGCGGCCGGCACCAGAAGAAACCCAGCCGGCCCATTCTCTGTGTTTTCTTCCCAAGTCGGTGGGCCGCCACAATTTCGCTACGGGGGGCCTGGTGCCAAATGCTTCCAGGCCGAAACCTGTCACGACCACCGCGGCCGCCACCATCCATCCAAGATCAATGCGACGGGGCCACTTCACGCACACCCGCCGCGCGCGAACCACGGGGCCGGCAACCGCCCCGAGCGAACGCATTCGCCCAAGCCAGCGCCCCCCGGCGCCGCCGCCGCGGGATCGCCCGCTCACAGGGGGCCAAGGAAGCGCGCCGCCGCCGCGGGCGCCGCTGGCTTGGGGGGGTCCCGAAGGCGCTGCCCGTAAGCGCGTGCCATCGCATTAGCGCCCGGCGCCGGCCGCGGGCCCGTAAAGGCTGCCGCCGCCCGCCGCGGTTTGTTCCACAACGAGGACACCGGCGCCGGCCCATTGTTCTGCCAGCGCCTGCCTTGGCGCGGGTAGTGGTGACCTTAGCAGCAGGCACGAGGCCGGCCACATCCTTCCGGCCCTTCGACGCGTCTTCCCGGCAAAGCTTGGGCACCGGCGGGCGGCCCGGCAAACCATGCCCGGCGGCCCCTCCAGCGGCTTCGCACTAGTTTCCGCATTCACGGCGCCGCGGACTGCCCCCGCAACTGCTGCCGCTTTAGCTTTGCTTAGTAAACCTTAGGTGCAGCTATACGCTCGAAGCCCACTCTAAGCTCCTGAGCAAAATCGAAGAACACTCACGCGACAGAGAAATCGCCAAGTCGAGCGATGTAACACGGCTCTTCTTCCTCTTGCACGATGTACTAGCACTCTGCTCTGTGGTGCGACAATCAATGAGAAGCTCCTGAGCTTGATTCTTCTTTATCTTTCTACTTCTCTGTACCAAATAACTGCTTTGAAAAAGTGTTCGAGAAATAAGTCACAATTTGTGAAATCGTGATAACGTCGAAGCATGTGATCATACAGGTCGCCCGACTTGGGGGTCTCGTCTGCTGGCTTGGAAACTTGCTAGTGCCGTCTTTTTTTGCCACATCGTCTCGTCAACCTCTATACTAGCAGAACCGTCACGGGTACTTAATACCTTACGCGCTGTCACTCACTGAAACTAACATCCACACGTATCGGGTATCGTGCACCACGGACCAAAAATCACAGAACATGATCTGCGGTCGAAAGACACATCCTTCGGGTTCGGCACGAGAACGAGCGCGTGAAGTAGACACGCTGCTATTCCTATTGCTAAGACACGCCACTTCTATAATTCCTCCGTATCAACTCCCCACCACCCCCTCCTGGTCCAGTGTACCGTCCGCCTGAAAATGGTGACTCAACATAATTTATGGATTGCAAAACTGTCTGGGTCTGGAAGTAGAATGCAAACTTGTGATGCGCATTGCAGAACACAGAAAAATCTCCCATGCATAGGCAGTAAAAGCTGCCCACTTTCTGTCACCAAAGTGGGGGATTTGTGATGCGGATTCGGCATTGCGGAACCTTCCGGAAAGCTGTGATGCTAGGGCTTCCATGCCAGCCCTCCTGTGTAATGCAAAAACAGCATGACTCTTCCAGACCCAGACATATAATTTGCAATCCATATAATTTTACACTTGTCGCGGTCCCGTTTCAACGGTTCCAAGGCGGTTCTTACCACTTCTAAACGCCGGCTGTTCTCGGATTTCTCCTTTGAGAGTAGGTTCCGCTATATGCAATTGCAAATATCTGCTCTGGGCCTGGAAAGCCAAGCTTTGAACTTTTAATGCACAATGGAAAATTTGTGCTGTTGCATGACCGACAGAAGCGAAGCTTCTTGCTTCATGTAAATTAACACACGGTTTGTCATGCGCACTAGAGGTGGAGAAGTGAAGTGTTCTACTAATTTGCCATGCTTGGGTGCTGCGACCATCCATAACCCAGCATCACAAGTTTATCCCGACCCAAAGAAATTTGCATTTGATACCCTGCTCCAACTTGAGCGCTTCCAGCTTCATTTTGAGCTGCTGGTACTGCTCGAACGCCTGGTCCGTTTCCCGCTTCGTTGCCTCTATGGGTTTATGCATTGCAAAAGCCTCTACACTAGATAGAAATTGCATGACAAATCATCTCAGCATGAAAAATAAAAATTTGTAAAGTTGAATTGCCAAGGGTGAATCAGCTTTGTCATGCATGAATGCAATCACTATGAGCACGATAATTTTGCATTGCATAGGATTTCGACAGCTGCAATTCCTTCTGTTCTAGTTCCTGCCTCTCCTCGCTCGCCTCCGCCAACTCCGGAATACTGTGTAAAAACGTCGTCCCTAACACGGATTTGTCATGCGAGTCTGCACGCCTAAATTGCTTCTCAAGCGCAATCCAAATACAAACATTGTCCTGCTCAATAACAATATGCTGTTTGGAAATTAATTTGCCATGCTAATGCCCGGACAAGAAGATCGATTTTCGATGCGGCTAAACCAGCTGAAGAACGCGATTACTTACACTTGCACCGTAGTGAGCCAAATATAATTTCCGTCTTCCTCTCCCTGGGGTTGTGGAGAGGACGTCGTTTTCGCACAGGATATCCTGCTCCAAGACGTTAACGCGGGCGGTGTAATGCCGGTACTTTTGTCGGTAGTAGTTTGGGCCAGTGGTTGTGCTGGAGTTACTTGTTGTGCCACTATCTAGAGAACCACGTTGTTGACCAGAGCCAGGACCACCCCCACTAAAACTCGCTGTGCTGGTTCTTGTGCCATGAGTTGTAGTGCCTGTCGTGGAACAATAAATCATCGAATGATCATTTTCGTGGTCCTCTTCTAGCTTTTCCACCACTTCATCAGAGTTCGCAAAAGTGGTTATCATTTCGAGCAGCGGCCGATTCAGTGCGCAGTGCTCCACTTTCGCCCGGCAGTAAGGACATTTGCTCGGCGGCTTCTTGGCCGCGCTGTTGTTCAATAGGCCGCGCGACTGGGTCATTGGATCAGGAGTAGTAGTTCCCGATTGATGTTGATGTTGTACTACCGGAATCAGGTTCATCTGCTTCGCGCAGTGGGTGCAGAGGTTGTGGCCGCAGGGGAACAGAAGCAGGGGCGACCGGTCGACGTTTTGGTCGTTGTTCTCGTTGGAATTATATGAACTTCTTATGCCGGGAACGTTCCGTGCCGGGGTCATCAAGTGCATGCAGATCGGGCACTGATGGGTGGACAAACGATCTTGGATGAGCTTTTCCAATTCCGCCGCAACCTGCCGCTTCGAAATGTTCTCGGTCAGTATCACGAGAAAAAAGTGTTACAGTTACACATTTGTATGCAGTTTCTGCATCACAAATGTTTTCCGTGTCTGTGGCAGAGAAAACTTGTAATGCGAAGATCATTAGGGAAAAAAGAAACGACACGAGGCTCCCATTCCCAAGCATTTCCTGCATGAGAACGGTTGTCTGTGTTGCCGGTCTTGCACACAATGTGTAAGTAACTGTAACACTTCTTTCTTGCGATAGTCAGCTCCTTGCGAATACTGGCCTCGATCCGTTTCGACAACCGCGAAAGCATCTCCACGTCGGCCTCCACTTGATGCTGAGTTGTATGATTGATGTGCTGCGAATGCGATGGAACGACGACGGCAGGAGGAGCTCCATTTTTGTGTGGAATTATACTTGGTCCTGCTTGCAAAACTCCAGGAGTTGTACCTGTCGCTGTCGCTGCGCCAGCATTTGTGGAGGACGAGGGGTGGTGCGCGGCTCCCGAATTTTTACATGAGGAAGATGATGAAGAAGTAGATAATGCCGTCCCTGCTGTGCTGGTACAACTTCTGTGGTCGTCGTTTTCCTCGTTAATGATCCTGAAGATGTCAACCTCATTGCTCCCTGCTTCTGTAGTAGCTCCTCTTACAGCAACTACACAGTGCTCCTTCCTTTCCAATGCAATTTGGTGCTGTTGCATCCATATGCATTGCAAAAGTATCGTACTCGTATAAATGCATTACAAATTTCCTCAGCATGAGAAATAAAATTTGTAATGCTAATTTGCCTTAAGAACAGGATTTGTAATGCGTGATTACAATACGAGTACGATACTTTTGCACAGGATAATCCACGCCGCCTGCCTCTGACGAAGCTCCAGACGTTATCAAGTGCAAAAGCGTCTGCTGGGTCTGGAAAAGTGTAAACTTGTCATGCAGATTCTCCATGACCCATGAGGTCTGGAGTCGTGCGGGATTTAGCATGACAGACTCTGCGAGGTCTCTGCCATGCCTATCCTGCATGAGAAACTCCCGCCTTCCAACTTGTTCAAAGGTGGACAGCTTTTGGCACTCATGCAACACAGATTTTTGCATGCTTCAGATTTACCATGACAAGTTGCCACCTTCCAGACCCACACATATTTGCAGGTGATAGACGCTTGTTGCTCGAGGCCAGACTGCCGCTGGAGGATTTGTTCTCAGGACCTCCTGCAGTTGTGTCGTCCGGGGATGAAGAGAGGACAGCGGGCATCGTTCTCTTTAATTATATCTGAATCTGTTTACTTCGCTTGTTTGACGCAGCAAATGCAGTTGCTTTGTAACTTCTTGTACTTCTTGACTCATCTTGAGGAGAAAGCTGGCTGCTCCCTGCATTGCCCTTCACCAGAAAAATGGCAGAGGGAACGCCAACCAGCACGTGGTGGCATGGCTATGCGTGTGATAACCTCCACACAGCAGCACTACACCAGTAGCACAAAATTATACACCCAAAAAAAAAACCCGCCTCATTTGCACCTTTGACACAACGTCGAAACGACACCTGCTCTCACTCGGAACTTCGGCGACTCTGTGGGCAAAACAAATTTGAGTCGCTTTTTCCAACACCTACTCGACAGTGAACAAAAAAACACAGAAAGCATATTTGCACCTGTAAGTGTACCAGTGCAGCAATGACTGCTCTAGTAGAGGACTGTCCTCATGTGATGATGTTGATGAACACAAGGCTTTTATTACTCTCGCCCAACTGGATTTCAGTTTTTCCATATGGCAGCCACTACTGCCCCGTGTCGTGTGAAATGTTACTATTTGTTCTCATCACGGGATCACAGGCAGGATGAGTCGAATTACAATTGCTTATGCTTTTGCTTTCCGACTTTTAACATTGATGGCAGCCTCTTTATTGTTGTAGTGGTCGTCCTGGAGAGTGAGAGAAGGAGGTATGCATCAAGTCGCGAATGATCCTGGACAGAAAATAAAAGGTCGTGCATCAAGTTGCGAGTTAGAATGTATGATCTAGAAACGAAAACAAAAGTGCGAGTACGAGTTATCATGTGCAGAAAAAAAGGAAATTCGAACTCAGTTTCGCGACATGATCTGTGAAGCGAAAATACCGTCCTGTCAAAGATTTTTGTCGACCTTTCAGCCTTGCTCCACTTATCTGGACCAAAGCCAAACCTTTACGCCCCCATGATTGAGTTTGAGAGTTACCCAATTAATAGAAAATTTGCAGCTTCCCCTCGTTAATAGAAAATTTGCAGCTTTACTCCAAGGGCAATCTCCGGAGTTTGAACTCCGTTTTGATCTTTTTCGCGACGATGATTTCCGGAAACGACACCTTCACCGGAGCCAGAATTTCGGACACGATATGGATTGCAAAAGTATCGTACTCGTATAAATGCATTACACATTTCCTCAGCATGAGAGATAAAATTTGTAATGCGGATTTGACTTAACAAAAAGATTGGTAATGCATGATTGCAATACGAGTACGATACTTTTGCACAGGATACACGAACATAAAAAGCAACGCGAAAAAGCGGTCAAACGTGAAAACCTTCCCTGCCATGGCGTTCTTGAACCTTTTGAACCAGCGGTGATCTTTATGGAACGCAAATACTTATGTCTGGGTCTGGAAGATGGCCGGGTTTGTCATGCATCTTTTGCATGACCCATGACGCCTGTAATGCGTGGTCTAGCGTCACAGATTTTTAGAGAGCTTCCTGAAGATGCCTGTTCCGCATGAGAAATGCCCTCTCGTCCACGGAGCACAAACTGGAGCTGGACTCCTCTCGCTGGTCACGCAATACAATTTTTTCATAGCATCCAAACGCAGCATCACATGCTTGCATTCTTCCGGGCCCAGGGATATTTGCACCGCATAATCTTTGGCCGACCGCTTCTTCTCCCCGATAGGCCGGTCGAGCGATGCATCGACAAGATTTTCTTCTTATCCTGTGCAAAAGTATCGCACTCGTAGTAATCGCAGTCACGCATTACAAATCTTTTTCTTGAGGGAAATCCGCATCACAAATTTTATTCATCATGCTGAGGGGATTTGTCATGCGATTTATACTAGTACGATCCTTTTGCATTGTATACTTCTCCATCTTGTCGTGCCAAAAGGCCTCCTTCCTCGTTGCCGGTGTCTGTTGGACGCCCAGCTGCTTCGTCCCCTTGTTCCGCTATCTGAAACTCCAGTCGGTCCTCGAAGTCAATCCATTCCTGAAAAGCGAACTTTCCCGGCCAGGCCTGCAGTAAAGAGAACCCGTTCCGGCAGTGAATTACGAGGAAGGAATGGATGCCGCCGGTGGTCGCGGGGGTACTAGAAGAAGGAGTTTTATCCGACGTTCTCATTGCTGCATCCTTTTTGCTATAATTACCGGAGTCGTTGTCCATTCCGTGACGTTGACCCATGTCTGTCGTCGGAGGAGGAGAAGACAAGGCAGTACCAGTAGCAGCACAACTTCTACCAGTTGTACTACTACTAGCACTGTTATTATACTTCATCGGCTTATCTCCGATCAAAAGCCACCACACGTCCATTTTCCTTCGGCCGAACAAATTCTTGATCTTCTGCTCCGCGGAAAAGGCATTTGTGTTGTAGAAGCGGAGGCGTGGCACGTTGGTCTTCAGTAAGTTTTGGGGTAGAAGAAGCTCCGAGTTGTGGTTGTATCCTATGTAAAAACGTCCTCACGCCATAGTCAAGAACAAGATGGGGACTCGGCTAGACAAATTCAAATCCACAAGTTTTGGCTGTTTTGCATGACAAATTTGGACTCGTAGTGTAGTGCTGTTTGAGCTAGCTCAGCAGCATCACACATCTAGTATATCTATATCATGCTGATTGGAGCATGACAAATTCCAAAACACGACTGGAAAACGCTTCTCAATCTCATGGGGTTCCGCATGAGAAACATTTTCAGCATGCAGATTTGCATGACAACTCTGGGGTGGGAACGTTTTTACACAGGATAGGTTGTCGTCGTTTTTCATCTCGTCTCCGTCGTCATCTAACTCGTAGCTCAGCAGCTTCTCTCGCTGCTCCAGCTGAAGCGCTGCTTGCTGCAATTGAGCTTGGCTAATTTGGTCCGGCAGGTTTGGCGGAAGTACTAAAGCAGGGGAAGGGTCGTCGTCGTCGTGTGCTGGACCTGGTGCTTCTGCTTCTGCTTCAACCGCGGTGGAGGCCCCCTGCTGCGTTACAAGTCCTGCGGCATGGTCTTCAGGTGCAGGCTTGAAGAAGCCCTCCGTTCTAGTCGCCGCTGGGCTCGACCGCGGACTGCTGCCCTGCAACCTTCGCAGATTGCTGTCCGGCAGTTTCAATAACTCGAGTTCGTCCGGGACCGCGTTGGTCAGTATGGAGTTCTCAAATGTTACATTCTCAACTGTAGTTACATGAATTTGTAATGCAAGACTGGCAAAAGTGAAAGGAGGAAGTTTGCGCCTTTTGCATTACAAGTTCGGCGCAGATTTAGGTGCGGCTGAGCCCTTCGCAAATTTGTCATGCGGAGCAGCTTGATCGTGAGGATGGTGATGGTGTTTTTGCATGACAAATTCATGTAACAGTTGAGAATGTAACGTTTGAGAACCCCATAGTCAGGTAGCTGAAGTTTTCCAGCACGTCCGGCCAGAAGTCGCGATTTGCGTCCAGACTGGGGATATCCTGTGCAAAAGTATCGCACTCGTACTGCAGTCATGCATTACAAATCTTTTTCTTGAGGTAAATCAGCATTACAAATCTTCTTTCTCATGCTGAGGAAATTTGTAATGCATTTATACGAATACGATACTTTTGCAGTTCATAGGGGATCTCTTCGTGCAGCAGGAAACTAAAAACCAACCGGTTCACGTCGATGTGCTTCAACAAATAAGTTCTTTCAGGTGGTGAAGTTGAACTGCCACGACCTGTACTAGTATCTTGTTCGAACTGGTGATTGTTTATTTCCTGCCTCTTCACCAGTCGCAGCGCACAACGGTAGCAGTCAATCACGTACTCAACGAGGAGCTCGGTGTCGCGAATGACGTCCCTTCCGCAGTTGGACTCGAACAACGGATTGGGCGGCTTGGCAGAGGCTTTGGTGAGTTTGTTCTGGTGGTCTTTCGCGTAGTTCTGCTGTGTTTTGGCCATGGAGAAGCCGGTACTACCTTGCTATCCTGTGTAAAAACGTCCCCACATCACCAGAGTCAAGATGAGGATCTCGCAACACAAATCGAGAAGTTTTTGGGGTCCAGCATGACAAGTTCGTCTAGGTATTGTAGTGCAGTTTAGCAAGCACAGCCGCAACACAAATCCATCTACTCATCCTGTCGACAGCATTGCAAAGCGCAAAACGTGATTGGAAATGCCTCTCATGTATATGCGCATTACAAATCTTCCTGTACGTAGCTGCAAATCTGCATGACAACTCTGGGGTGGGTACATTTTCGCTCAGGATACTTGCCGGGTCAGCGTCATGGTTTTGGCGAACCCTTTATCAAATGCAAAAATGTCTGGGTCTGGAAGGATCCGAACTTGTGATGCGTGTTTCGGATCCTACAAAGATCTGTGATGCATAACGTGCAAAAGGTGCCCACTTCTGGCCATGCTGAGAGGGCATTTCTCATGCAGAATACGCATCACCAAGGAGCTGCAGAACCTGTGATGCTAGGCCCTGCATTCCAGACGTGCACGTGGGGAAGGGGGAGCTTGGAAAAACTGCATAACAAATCTCGGAATCCCCCAGACCCAGACATTTTTGCATTTAATACCCTTCGGCCCCTGGCGCTGGAATGACAAACGAACCCGATGTAGTGGTCCTCTCCTTGCAGCGGGCACAACTTCTAAGCCGTTTTCACGCCCAGTAACGCCTTTTCGGACCACCTTCACGCGGAAGAGGAAGTGGACACGAAATTATAGCGCCGGAACAAGTATACGAACAGTGGCTTTAGTGCTGTGCCGGGTTGAAATGGAATGGGAGGGGAAGTTGTTCAATGAAATTGATTTGTGCTTTTGGTCTTGCCCAGCTATTGCTACAGTAGATACAGAACATTTGAAAAGAGAAGTGCTTGGAAAAGAGTGCTCGAATAAAACAAACGGGGATGTATTGCAGTGAAAAGTGCCCCCCACCCCTGAAATTGCAAAATTTGTGATGCGAAGTTTCCAGATGAAAACTTTCTGTCATGCATGGAAGGAGTATGGATCTTTCTGATGCAGAGTCTAGGCGTGTATCGCATCGCTTGCATGACAAGCGCCGCTCGTGCTGGGGCCTTTTGCAATACAAATTTTTGCTACTCACGATTGGAAACCTGTGATGCTGATAGATGAAAGAGGGCGAATGTTTCATTATTCATTTGGAAAGGTTTGCAATACAAATGCGTTCACGTTCGGGAATGGGGGCATTTTTCATTGTAATAGGATGAGAAAGGTATTTCTACTACGTGAAGGGGCAGCAGGCGACGCGTACCGATACGCTTCGAGGTGGAGGTCCTGTGTTGGTTCGATAGCTGACACTAGTAAGCACGACCAGAAGAAGGTGACTTTGCTGATACTATTGACGTGAAAACTGTATCAAGAGTTCTGTGATAGTGTTCATTCTACTTCAGCCTAACGAGGTTATCTTTTCCCGAAGATATTGATACACGACCATGATGTCACCGGCCACGAGGCGGGAACGAATATCAGGCGTGCCAAATCCTACATAGACGACTGCGAAATACGAGTGTACGCCGTGCTTGAAAGAACGAGAACGGTAGTTGCACGATCAAATACACTGGTTATTGAGAAACCTCAATGTTGAAATGACAAAAACAGGACGAAAAGAGCAGAACTACGACTTCGCCAACTTATTTCGTCTCACGACGAAAGGAAGCCTTCACCGACATCAATCATCACGCAGCTGTAGCGCAGGAGAGAGGGCAGCCTAGTTGTCGTATTGGTACAGTAAGTATGATAACAGCGAAAACTACATCGAACAAAATTCTCCAAGGCCGAACAAAATCGTGTTGAGTTCATGCTGTCATTAGCCATCGCAACCCGGTCGCCAGCGGGAGAGAAAGGAAACAAAAACCTAAATACCTACGCCAGTAGTTGTAAGAGAGGTTGTCTTAGTCTTTATTTTGCGGTTACAAAATGAAATTCAAATTTTCCTCGCCCATCGACGGCAGGCAGCGAGGAGGGTGCTTTGGGGCAAACAGAGCAGGGGGGTGGTACAAAGACGTAGGCGTAAGAACTCTAAAGAAAGAGAAAGAACAACTCGCAAATACAACAATACATAGGGGAAGAAACTATTTGATCTACGCGAGAAAACTACAAGTAGGTGACAGCAAAGTAGGTATACAAACCTGATGTAGTGCAGAGGGCAGAGCTGCCATTATTTCTGCAAATACTTCTTGATACAAAGGGCAAAACAGATTAGTACGTCAAAAGGTGGGAAACATGAAGGATAGCAGGGCCTTTCTCTTCTACTTCGTCGTAGTCTTAGGGAAATTCAAATTCTGAAACGCGTACAATACAAGGTATATCAGGGAAATACTTTTGGTTTTTCTTGGTACATTGAAATGTGCACAACATTGTCGCAAAACAACAAAACTTTCAAAATCAGATAATTGGTGGAGGGTTTACTGTATTGTCTAAACATTGCGATCTACTGTAGTGGTGCTCAGGGAGTCTGTCTTTCTTCTGCCTCAAAATACAATACTTTGCTTTTGTAACTTTTTCAACTGCAACAACTTGTTGCGGGACCAAATTCTATCTGTAATATTTCTTGGGGGATCGGGATTAAAACCAAATTACAAGTGTATAGAGCCTGAGAATCATCAGGAGTCTTGTGTTCGCTTCTAGAGCTACTAGAGGCGATTGAAATTATATCTGTTTCATCATCTTCATCATGTATCGTCCGTGCTGGTACTTACTAATATCAAGTGTAAAAGTGTCTGGGTCTGGAAGATTGCGAGATTTGTCATGCATATTTCGGATCACGCAGATGGCGTCTGATGCAGGCAAAAGCATCACAGGTTTTGAGCACGCCTCATGATGCCTCTCTCGCATGAGAAACTTCCTGCTTGCGTGCCAAGAAATGGACAGCTTTTGGCGCTCATGCAACACAAATTTTTGTGTGTTCCAGAGAGTTTGCATCACAATTCCAACCCTTCCAGACCCAGACACTTTTACATTTGATAACTAAAGTACTTAAACGAAAGAACGCAAAGTTGCACGATGCGTGCAAGAACGGCGACTAAAAATCACGACCTACTTACAACTGTTCTCAACGCATTCAAACTCCAGCATCTCCATCTGGTCATCAGCTTTGATAGCCCCTGCAGGATATGCAGTGCAAATATGTCTGGGTCTGGAAGGGTGAAAGCGGTCAAAAAATCTGTGATGCTAGGACCTGCATCACAGACCTCACGGGTCATGCAAAATGTGCATGACAAACCCCGACTTTTGTTGTTCCAGGCCTTCCAGACACATTTGCAATTGATACAGGACCACACGTGACCAACTTCACAAACGGAACGTGTGCGGCATTCGGAGGGAACCGGAACAGCTCTCGCGTCTTGTTGCCCTTTATTCCGCCGGGCGAACTGGAACTAGTGCGGCGGTGGGCCGTCAACACATTCTTAGCTGGCAGAGTCGCAGGAGCCGCAGGAGAACCAGCGGCGTTCTTCTGCTCATCTTCGGCAAAGACGATTCCCTGCTTCACATCCACGCGGATGGTAATCGTGCGGGTCTCCAGAAGTGGTACTACAACCTGTGGATTTCCAGTTCTCTACCATTCGCTTCAAGTCGCAGTGTCTAAATGAGGAAGAAGGGCGGTGGTTATATGCAGCCCCACAACCTGCATGAGGACATGTCCCAAGGGCCAAGGCTCATTCCGGGTCTGCATGACAAAAAACAAAATCAAAAGAACGGACCTTGTCTTGTTCGCGGCCTTGCAGTTCTACTTCACAAAGGCGAGCGCTTTCATCTACTTCGACTGGTGAAGTAGAGAACAACTCAACGGTCGTGCTCCTTTGCCAGGTGTCGCAAAAGGTTGTACCACCAGACGCGGCCCCACCGAATAAAGTTGCTGCTGCGCAAGGCGAGGAAGAAGATCCAGTGTAGAAACTCAAACTGTTGCTGCTGCAGCGCTGACGCTCCTGCCAAGAAGTTCTTCTAGTTGTATCCGCGTGTAGCTGCTCTTGCTCACGGTTGTGCTGTGCTAGCGTGATTATCTTTGCACAATTTACTGTTGTGCAACTTCTACCAGCACTGCTCGGAGAAGACGCGATGAGGCCCACCTCGACGTAACTGTCACAGAGTGGAGGGAGATCTAGAGAATCATCTTCCCCACATTTACTTACCGCGGTCGACGCGAAAGGTCGTTCTCTTCTCCTCTTTGCCTTCGCTTTGATTGTGAAGCAGTACTCGAGAGAAACAGGGTCGAACTGTCGGAAGATCTTCATGGGCGCTATCCTGCGCAAAAGTATCGCACTCGTACTAAAAATTGCATTGAATGCATTACAAATCAAGTTCCTAAGGCAAATCCGCATTTCAAATTCAATTTGTAATGCTGAGCCAATTATTTGTATTGCAATTACTACTAGTACGATGCAGCTTTTGCAATTCATAGGCGAAAACATGTGGAAGTAGGTGCTGCTCCAGGACGACGTATTCTTGCCGTTGTCGTGTAGTTGCCAGCCATTCACATTCTCCTGTTGCTGTCCAAGAACGCCGGTGCTTTTTGACGCTGTTCTTTGTGGTCCTTCTTGATTGAAAATTGCTCCTTCGTCTTCTTGCAGCTGGTGCACGACGTGGTCTAAAGCACAACTTGCAGTCCTGTTACGTTGGGTAATTTTGCTGTTGAACACGTTTGCTCCGCGCTGCCCGACGGCGTTGCTGGTGTGAATGGAGTTGTGATTGGATTTCATTCTCGCGCAGTTCTGGTCGACGTGCACGTGGGCATTTTTTTCATACCAATCCTCCGCTTCCAGGTCCATTCTGTTCCCAAACTTTTTCCGAATCCGCAGCAATTCCGGTTTTGGGTAGAAGACACGAGTGCTGCTGATCTTTTCATCTACTACTCCATGCGACGCTGAACACATGGAAGTAGTAGTGCCACAAGTCGCCTGAACATCAAACTCCGGCCTGCGTACGACAAAATCCACACGACACCTCCAGTGGGAAAATCTCCCCCGGTACTGCACGAAATTTTCCTCGTTCCACCCGTCTTGAAAGTCGATGCGGTGGGTAGGTTTGATTATACTAGGCTCTTGCATTCGTCGCGGCCCCCCTGCTTGTTGTTCCCGCTTGTTGTAACTACTGTACGCGGGCAAAAGCCAGGGGTTGTAGTTGGTGCAGATCATTTGCGGATCTTGCCAATACCAAGGAGTTGTGAAGCCGCTGGTTGGAGACGACGGGTCATCTCGTCTCTCGTTTTCTGTTGACATAGACGTCGACATTGAGCTCGTTGACGACCTTGAGGAGGTCGCGGTGCTCCTATTGCAGGCCTATCAAATGCAAATGTGTCTGGGTCTGGGAGATTGCGAGATTTGTCATGCTAGTCTGGCACGACTCCGAACTCTGTATTGCGTGGCCGCGAAGAGCTCCCGTGGGCTGTCATGCAAAAACGCAGTTTCTCATGCGGAGTACGCAACTCAGAAGCACCGAAAAAATTGTCATGCTTGGCAGCGCATTACAGTGTTCTCACTATTCCCTTCCTTGCATCACAGGTTCTTTCCAGACCCAGACATATTTGCAATGCATAAGCCCATGATCATGTTCGCTCCTGTGGGGGTGGACGAAGTTGTTGCAGCAGTCGACGCAAGCACTTTTTGCTGAGATGTTGTTGACAACACAACTGCCATGCTTCTCATCTTATCGACTTCTTTCAAACAGTAGTCCAACAACTCCTCTTTCCGACAATCATGCTGTTGTCTCTGATGTCCCTCTAGTTGTACTTCTTCTACCGCGGTTGCTGGTTGTAGTTGCACCTGATCGAAATTATCGTCCACGACCTGGAGGGGTCGTACTAGTTGTCTCTGAAACAGAACTCGGTAACAGTATTGCTCCCAAGAAGAAGGATTTTTGCTCGTACAGCAGCAGCTCGTCTCGGGGGTGTCTTCGATGGCAAATGATCCCTCGTGCAATGTGATTGCGCGAAGTGCAAGAACTCCTGCTGGTGTATAGTGTTCTAGGTCGCTCTCGATGTCCATCCGAGGACGGGTAGTAGTTATCATCTCCGGTGGTCCTCCGGCGGGTTCTGGTTCTTCATCTTGCCGAACCTCCGCGTTCTGCCCCCCAGGCCAGGTCTTGGTTTTGGTCAGGCCCCGAAGATCTGTTGCTGGCGGGGGCGGGGGGTAGATCGGGTAGTAGAAGTTGAAATCATGATCTGGTGCTTGTTCGACGTCGGACACGATTTTATCTTCGTTCTGGTCTTGATGTTGATGAGAAAACTCCACGCCCGGCTGCTCCAGAAACAGTTCCTCCAGAATCTTCGTTCTACTTTGCAGACGATTTAATCTACTTCCACCATCGCCAGGGTGCAACTCCGTCGAACTGGTATTACGTGCTGCACTAGTTCGTCCGCTTCGAGTGTCGCTCTTCTGGTTCAACAACATCCCCTTGTTTGATGTCATCTGGTCGTGGTGTCTTGATTGTGCTGTTGCTGCAGCACCTTTAATGACAGCACTTGTGTCGTGTGTAGTTTCTTCCGCTGCATAATTTAGCTCCTCTTGATGAAAGAACTCCCGCATCCTCTCCTTGGCGAATTTTAACTCTTGGAAGAACAAATCTTCGTTCTTCGCACTGCACGTTTCCGCTATCCAGGAAAAAAACTACCGTGTAAGCGTAGTTTATTTGTAGAAACCGCAGCATCACAAATTCGCTTTGCATTTTTACAGGGAACAAAACCTGTCATGCGCAGCCAGTTGTATCACTGGAAACTACACGTAAATGAAAGTAGCCTATGACGTCGCACATCCAGCATGACAAGCGATAACTGCGTTGGATATTTCTGCATCACAGACTTACACTCACATGGTTTTTTTCTTGCGTATCCGCCACGTTCCGATCAATCAACGGATCCCGAACGTACAGCTGTTCCGGTTTTCGCCCGAACCGCAGACTATGCATTGCAAAAGCGTCGCACTCGTCTTTAACTTGTATTGCAAACATGCATCACATCAGAAAAAAAAATTTCAATTTTCTTAAGGTCAAAATGCACAGCGTTCGTGCTAATTCAGGTCATTTTAGTGCAAAACTGGTCTTGTTAAGTCAAAAACAACAAAAACGCCGGAAAAGCGCACGGCGGGGCCACATAGTTAAGCGCTAAAAGTGCCCTCATGTGCGAAAATGCGACAAAAAAAGGAAAAAAGTCGCAAACTGAGCAAAATAACGACAAAAATGAGCATAAAGGCACACTCGCAAAAACTTGCGAAATTCGAAAAAAGTCGCGAGCTGTGAGCTATAAGGTTAAAAGTCGCCCGCTGTTTTTTTTTTCGAAATCGCTTAAAATAGATCAGATTTAAGCAAATTGCATCAAAAAAGCGCGAAAATGCAACCAAATGCGTCAAAATGACGCAAAAACCCGCAAAAATGCACCAAAGTGCGCTAATTGACCAGAAAACGCGGCAACTTCACAACAATACGCGCGCAGGCGGAAACCGTGCACCAAAACGCAGCGCCACAGTTTTGCGATGCTTGTCGCTGCGTTTGTTAGTCTATTTGGCAGGTGGTTCGATTCTAGAACGCCCACAATGTGCTGAAATGCGCCAAATTCGAATAAAAAACTACAGAAACGCGAACACAGGCGCTGTAAGTAAGCAAAATAAAAGAAAAACGAGACAAAAATCCCCAAAGAAGCACGCACATGCGCGCAGACAAACAGCACGAGTCAAAACACGACAAAAAGCATGGCCCAAGGCCGGCAAGAACGGACGCCGCCCACCTGATTCCAGTACAGTTGTCTCGCTTATTCAGGCGAAAATGTGAACAAAGTGGAGCAGATCTGGCTAGCAAACTAACGCGCTCGGCTTCGGAATCGCTCGTGGCGCTGGCCAACGAAAAGCAACAACGGCAAAGAGACAGCTTCTTCGTGCTAACTAGGGCCATCCTGGTGCAGATTGGGTCTCGCTAAGCCAAAAAGACAAAAAGGCGACTAATTTTGCAGAAGTTGTCAACTTGTATTGCAAACATGTATCACATGGAAAGAAAAGTGCCAACTTTCTTAAGGTACAGACGCGCCTTTTTGGTGCTAATTCGACTCATTTCACTGCAGAACAGGTCTTGTTAAGTCAAAAAGAGCGAAATGGTTGGACGAAAAAGCACACGGCGGGGCCACCTTGTTAAGCCTAAAAATTGCGCAAATGCGCCAGAAAAAATGCAAAAACTAAGGCGGAAAGGGCGCAAATTTTTCAAAATAGGCACAAAAGTGCGCCACTATGCGCATTCTCGAAAAATGCGCAAAGTCGCGACATTGCGCGCGCCGATGATTTTGCAGCGGTTCACAGCGCGTTGGCGCTGTCGCACCCGTAAGGCTAACTCCCGACAGTTTGGTCGTACTTAGGACCAAAATGCGCCAAAAGAGCTCCCCTCAGCTCAAAAAGGTGCGCAAATGCACCAACAGACGCAAACTAAAGCAAAAACGTCGCAAAGCCATCGAAATAGGTGAAAAAGTGCAACACTTTGCAAATTCTCCAAAAAGGCGCAAAGGCGCGACAAGGCGCGCGCCGGTGATTTTGCAGGAGCAAGTCCGCAGAGCGGTGGCGCTATCGCATCCGCCAGGCCAATTCCAGACAGTTTGGCCGTTCTGAGGACCAAAATGCGCCACAGAAACTTCCTCCAACTTAAAAAGGCACAAAAGCGCGACGAAATGAACGAAATACGGCAAACCGGCGGCGAAAATAACCAGCCCCAGGCGGTTTGTTCGTTTTTAGCCCCAAAATGCGCCAGAAAAGCTCCGCGTAGCTCGAAAAGGCGCAAAAACGCAACAAAATGAACGAAGTACGGCAAAAAAGCAACGGAAAGACACCCAAAAAGTAAGACGAAGGCAAAACATGGACAGCGTCGCCACTTTTAGCGTAAAACCTTAGCAACCGCGGCGCCTCTCATGCTTGGCAAGTCGGGGCTGGCGCTGCAGCGCAGCAAGGATAGTAAGCCCACAAATGCAGACAAGGAGCGAAAAACGCCGCCGCGTCACTCTTCTGCGCCCTGACATGAAGATAAACCCCACGCGTCCAACGCGCGAAACGAAAAACACCAGAAAAATGTCCGCACCAAGAAGCAGGCCGCTGGCTGACACGCCGGACCGGCCTCCGGGATTGCATTACATGGAAAACCAACGAAGAGCCTCGCTTGGTGCTAATTCAGGGGCGCTTACGCGAAGCAGTCGCGCCACTAGCTCTGGAAGCAAAGTGCGAAAGACACAGCCGGCGCCGCGTGTTTGGCCCACGAAAATTTCGACACGAAAAAGAGAAAAAGGGCGCCAACTGCAGAGGCGGGCTGCTGTTCATGTTCCTACTGGCATAAAATAAATAGCAAAAATGCAAAAAAAAGCCCCGGCAAAAAAAAGCACAAAGCGCCACGGAGCCGCACGCCTTAGCTCCGACATGGAGACCCGCGCCGCGCGGGCAACATAAAAAACGGACAGCACCCCAAAGGCGCCCACGTCAGCACGCGAGCAGGTGGCGGGGAAAACGAATCGCCTGCCGAGGCTACACTACACGCAAAGAAAGAAAAAGCCGAAGGGGCGGGGCAAAGTCTAAAATCTTCCGCGAACATGGGGAGGGCGAAGCCCCCCGGCAGCGCAAGCTTGCGCGCGCTGCAAAAATTAAAAAAGTTTCTTTTTTCATTTTTTCAAATATTCATCATCTAAAATCTCGGGCAGTGCTCGATTCAAATCTCTTGGGGAGTAGTAATTCTTGCAATCATGCATCACAAATCTTTTTCTCAAAAGTAAATCCGCATTACAAATTTTAGTTCTCATGCTGAGGAAAAGCATTTATACGAGTACACTGCTTTTGCACGGCATACGACCAGGTCTGCTTTAATTCCGCGTCGGTCGGGTTGGGTTTTGGGATCTTACTATCAAATGCAAAAATGTCTGGGTCTGGAAGAGTCAATGCTGGCATGGAAGCTCTAGCATCACAGGTTTCGAGAAGCTTCCGCAATGCCGAATCCGCATGACAAGTCCCCCACTTTGGTGACAGAGAGTGGGCAGCTTTTGCTACCTATGCATGAGAGATTTTTCTGTGTTCGGCAATACGCATCACAAATTTGGATGCTTCCAGACCCAGACATTTTTACATTTGACACTTACTTGTGGTCACCGTGCTTGTTTCAACACGAGATGATGATGAAACTCCTGCGGAATTATGCGCTGATGGAGAAGAAAAGTTCAGCGGTGTAGTACAACTTCTTCTAGAAGGGGTTCTACTCGCAGAAGTCGCCGCCCCTGGTCCTTGTGTGCAGCTGGTGGTCGACATAATTTTTGACACCGGTAGTTCTTGTTGTGCTTGTGCTACTCGTGCAGATATATCTTTAAACATCCCCCGGACGCAGACACAGTCGGTGTTTTTGTCGAAGTGGAATGGGAACAATGCAACTTGATCAGAAGAAACCACATGCCGCTCGTCGTCTTGGTGTGTGTCGCTCGGTCGTTTTGGCGCCGTCGCAATAGTACCGCTGCTCCTCGTATTTACTGCGCGGGTCGGCGGCGCGGTGTAGAACTCACAGAACTCGAGGAAGAGCTGCTCTAAGGTGGTGGTGGGCGTTCTTCTAGTAGGACGAGCAGAACTCGATGAACCAGGACCAGAAGCAGGGACTTGATGTTCATCATGTTCACCTCCATTTGTTTTATCACTTTCGAAGCGGCCTGCTGGATCATTCCGGAAGTAGCAGCTCCTGCCGGGAGCTTCATCTTGACTGCACGACGAGGTACTACTTCTAGACCCCAGGAAGTACAACACCATCAAAATGAGACAGTAACTCGACAACCCGCCGGCGTATGAAAATGTCAGGATCGAAATGGACAAAGTTGAAAAAATTTGTGATGCATAAAATAAAATGCACAGATTGCCTGTCTTGCAGAGCAGGCAAAAGAGGGCGATTAGAAGCCTGTTCGGGGTCGTTAGAGACAGGGCTGCTAAAATAGCATGGCAAGAGGTATCGTCTTTGCCTAACCAGCATAACAGACTGGATTTGGGTTCCACCAAAACTTGTCATGCGCCGCTTGGCGATTGGGTCTCCAATTGGAATTGCTATCGATCATTCTATGCATTACAAATAATTTCAACTTTGTCGATTTCGATCCTGACACTCCCATATGGCGCTCGCGGAGGGTATTTGCCGCCGCTTCGCCCACTGCTTCACCAAAATACCCAGGAGAGACGCGTCTTGGTGTAGGGATTCGCCCAGGTTTTTTAGCAAGACACTGTTCGCGATGCCGGCTTCGTTTCGGACCGAAATCTCCACTACGGTCGCTTGATCCGCTGTAGTTCCTCCGTTCTTTCTGAAGTGGCACCGCAGAATCGGCGTCTTGCGGCTCGGGATTAATTCGAGACGATGGAGGTGGGAAATAACGGGTTTGGAGTTCAGATTCATCTTCTTGTGGTCGTGGTCCTCATGCGATAGTAATTGTATTTGCTGCGGTTCTACGTGATTATCTTCCTCATGCTCCGTCAGGGTGGTGGTCATGGTCAACATCACCTCTAGTTCGTCATGTAGCCTGGCTAACGCTTCTTCTCTCACCACGGAATCCGGCAAATCCCAGCTCAAATCCAAGTCGCTGTTTTTGGACCGATATCCACCTGCGCAAAAGCATTTCTACACACGACATTTTGATGTCGTGCAAGACCTAATTAATATTGCAATCACGCATTACAGATGTCGTATATGTTTTATCTTCGTTGTCCTACCACTACCTGATTTAGCATCGCAAATTTCATCATTTTCCAGCGCGCTGAGGAACGTTGTCATGCGCAATACTATATGTAAGGGCGAAATGCTTTTTCGAATGGATAAGCGAAATCCGTTCACCGAACTGCCGAAGAGCTGTATCCTGTGCAAAAGTATCGTGCTCGTACTAATTGCATTTATGAATTACAAATCTAGTCCCTAAGGAAAATCCGCATTACAAATTCAATTTGTAATGCTGAGCCAATTTGTGTTGCAATTACTACTAGTACGATATTACTTTTGCAATTCATACGCTGCATGCCGTGCTGAATTTGTGTTGCGGTTTGCGTATTACTTCCATCGAGTTTACTGTAGTTCATCTTCCTGTAGTTGTGTTCTTTTCGGACCACTGCTTCCATCGCGGTATGGATCGTCAAAAGAATCTCCAGCTCGACGCCGTCTACGGGGATGACGGAGTATCAATTGCAAAAGTATCGCACTCGCGTAATTGCATTACAAATTTCCTCAGCATGAGAAATGAAATTTGTATATGCGGATTTACCTTAAGAAAAAGATTTGTGATGCGTGACTGCAATTACTACGAGTACGATACTTTTGCACAGGATACGGAGCAGGGAGTGTCCATTTTCTCTTCTCTACTGCACGTCGTTGTCGACTGCGACTTTGTAATGCTGTTTGCCATGGCAGCGTGCCTGTGCGCGAACTTGGACAGGACGATGGATCGTAAATCGAGGAACGACCCAACATATCCTGTGCAAAAGTATCGTACTCGTACAAATGCAAGTCTTGCATTACAAATCTTGTTTCCAAGGCAAATCTGCATTACAAATTTTATTTTTCATGCTGGGGAAATTTGTAATGCATTTATACGAGTACGAAACTTTTGCAGTGCATACAACATGATTTTCATTTTGTTCTTCGTCTTCCTCAGCTTCATGTGATTCTGCCTGAGAAAAGCTTCCCGCTTTACTCGTTCCGCATGAAGACAAAGGCGAGAACGACGAGGACGAAGTCGAAGGGGAAAAGGATGACGCCGTCGTGGTGGAGAAAGCTGGACTGGTATCTGAATCGGGGTTGTAGGAGGAGTCGACACAAGAACTGCTAGAAGAAGTACAACCACGAGGACCATGATCTCCGGCGGGGCTAGGCTTCACGATCAGCTTCTGGAGGTGTTCATCCACCTCGGCGTGCTGGTTAGTACTGTCAGTATGATCTGCTTCAGTGATGGTCGCTTGTTCCTCCTCGACGTAGCTAGCCGGTGATGCAGTTGTTCGCTCCGGCGTCGTGGTACTGTTGCGCTCAGTCCTCTCGCGGACGACCGCTGCTGCAACAACTTCGCTCTTGATATTGTTCGAGACAGGGTGCAGCTCCTGTTTCTTATCGACAAGTACCGCTCCAGCAGGTGGAGCAGCGGCGGCATTTTTTCGTCCGCTTATTGCTAGTCCTTTTTGTGGAGGCGGTAGCGCAACTGGTTCCACTGATTTCATCGAGCACTCCATGATAATTTTCGGCGAAACAACAACCGTCCGCATCTTCGACGGGATCCGGAGCCGCTCGGCCCAGGAAAGCGCTTTCATCTCTTGTTGCGGCTGTTGAACTGTCGCAGGTCGTGTAGTAGACAAAGTTGTCGACATCATTCTTTGGTATTTCAAAACTTGTTCCTTTTTGTAAGAATCACAGTCTTTTTTTTCTCAAATTTTCTGATCTGGGACGAAATTCTCGTCATTCTACGGCTTATCGTACTACGCCCGATCTTTGTATTGCAAGAACTGGCTTGCTCTTGCGTTTCTGTTTGTAGTTCTTGTGTCTTGATGATGTCAGCGAAGATTTGCAACCTAAAAAGAGCTTTCGAATGACGAGACGCTTGCTAGATAGAAGTAAAACGAAAAGTAGTTGTTGGCGTTGTTGTAGGTACGTGTTGGCTATCTTTTCGATGGACGGCTGTAGGCGCTGTGCTGTTTTTGCATCGAAACGACGGAAAGACAAGTGGTTACGAGAATTATCAACATCGACAGGCGATTTTTTGAGAAAATAGCAGAACCGTCTCTCATCTTCTATCTCGAACTCGAAGCAGCAAGAACGACGTGAATGCAAGAGCTGCACAATCGAGCCTTCAAAATTTTAATTTCGGCAACGGATGCGAACAGGTCGAAAATAAAGCAAAAACGACAGACGAAGGAAAAAAACTGCTGTTGGATGCTCGGAACAAAAATTCAGACAGAAGCAGAGTCAGTCTCAGTCTTCACAGCCGAAAAAAAATAACGGCATTCTTGGAATTCAATTGTATATTTTTTTCGAATTTCGCTTCTACGGCGGCAGCAGCGGGATTCAACACAGCCCCAGTTTCTGGCAATGTGATGTGGGTTCATTTTTATATTTCGGTCGCGAAGTTCTTCCTGGTCGTGCCTCTTCGCGGACGCGTGACAAGAAGATCAAGATTGTGTTTGTAACCGTGAGATCGTGCACCATGACGTTGCTATAATGTTGCCCATGCACCTACTTCTTATGTACATTTTTCATTCCGCTTGTTCATGCGTGATTAAAAATTCGTAGGTGGTTCAACATCGCCCAAGAATTTCTCTACTTCCCCAATTGAAGATGACCATCATGATGCTCTAGCAGTCGCAATTGTGCATGTGGAGCTCGTCTTCAACTTGTTGTTTCAAGAAGCTCCAACTCCATATGGTATTAGTAATCTTTCTCAACAACTACGAACTGCTGCTTTTTTAGAAGTGCGTCGAGTGGTATCAAAAACGTACGAGGAGGTTTTCAAAAATTCAAAGTCTCCGCCCCACGAACAAAGTCGTTTTCTTCTTTACAAAAGAGGACAAGAAATGCACCTTCCGTTTCGCACAGAAAAATGTCGTTGCTTCGTCCCAATTTTGTTTATTTGCAGGTTCTTTTTCCTGTCAAACTGAAACTATCGTGACGTCGAACAGGAGCGGGGTTGTTGTGTCTTTCTCGACTTGTTCACTGATCCTGCTAGGTCTCTTTCCCCTAAAGACCACCGGTGGAAAATGAAAAAGTGCGAGGACAGGAATCCCTGCCTTGGTACTCGATCATCCCCAGCAGTAGATAGAAGTCGTATTTATGGAGGCTTCTTTCATCTCACGTCGACGTCGACCGACTCGTCTAGTAGTTGTGGAGCAACCAATATAAACCAGCAGCACCTCAAGAAGCGCATCGTCCATGATGTAAGCATTTATTGCTGTGTCCAAGTTGCTGTTGGAAAATGCACATGGTGTTGTTTGCTTGTTCTAGTACTGTTCTCCGCGGTCGTCGTCCCTCGCAAGGATCTTCGATACGAGGAGGATTTTTGCAGTCAGTTGTAGAAACACAAGATTTGCTTACTTACTTCCTGGAACGATCAGTTTCGTCCCCTGGGTGCTGGAAAAGTAGTTCTTGCACAGTAGGCTGTAGTTGTTAGCAGGCGACGGTCTGATGATGTACACCAGCTGCTGCTGCTGTGTAGAAGTGTTATTTGCCCACATTTGAAGAGTTTGTCTGCCCCTCTTCCTGCCGCACCAAACAATTCAATTCCAGGCCGTCTAACGTATCCTGTGCAAAAGTATCGTACTCGTTTAAATGCATTACAAATTTCCTCAGCATGAGAGATAAAATTTCTAATGCTGATTTACCTGGAGAGAAGGATTTGTAATCCATGATTGCAATACGAGTACGATACTTTTGCATTGCATATAACGTCTTCGACAGCAACTCGAACTGGCTCTGCTTCACGTCCACCTCCTTCAGGCTGTATCCTGTGCAAAAGTATCTGATGCTCGTCGTAGTTGCAATCATGCATTACAAGTTTTTTTTCTAAAGGTAAATCCGCATTACAGATTTTATTTCTCATGCTGAGGCAATTTGTAATGCATTTATACAAGTATCGGATACTTTTGCACAGGATAGGCTGTCGAGATCCACAATCAAGTCCTTGCGGTTCGTTACTGGGTCGTAGTCCGGACCTCGGTTTTTGAATTGATATTGATTTGGTACGTCTATGTGGTTTTCGCATGACAAATGCACATGCCTAGTGCTCGACGCATGACAAAAATGCACATCGCTAGTACAACTTCTCGTCGTGTACTACTGGCAGCTCTCGGATAGTACTAACGACGAAGAGAAATAAGTATACATTTCGATTTCCACATCACTATTCTTCCTATACCCTTCGTCAGCGTCCACCTATAGTCGGATTTCTTGTTCAGCAGCTCGCAAATGGTGGTGCTCTATAAAATGCAAATATGTCTGGCTCTGGGTCTGGGAGATCGCGAGATTTGGCATGCTAATCTGGCATGATTCTGAGTTCTGTATTGCGTGGCAGCGAAGGGCTCCTCTTTGCTGTCATGCAAAAACGCAGTGTCCCATGCGGAGTACGCAACTCAGAAACGCCGAAAAATTTGTCTTGCTTGGCAGCGGAAAACAGTGTTCTGACTATTCCCTCCCTTGCATCACAGGTTTCCAGACCCAGGCATATTTGCAGTGCATATTCTCTCCTTCAGACTGATCTCTGGTCGGAGAATCAAGCTGGGCACGCCGTTGAGGACATGGTCCCGGAGCAAAGGGTTCGCGCCATCCTCCTCGGGAACTTTGTACTCCTCCACGTACGCCTCGCCGTCGGGACGGGCTGTTTAAGTCAAATCGTAATGTTCGTTTTTGATCATTGACATATGCATATCGTGTCAAAATCACATACACATTCAATTGACGACCACGACGGCACAACTTCTTACACGCGCTGGTGCAAAACTCTACCGTAAAAGAAAATTGGCGCGATCGGGCGGGGCGTGGGCAGAGTTCGCCGTTGTAGCGACGAAGGGGCGCGCGCGAATGCGAATCTGCAGCGATTATTGTCATGCTGAATTCTTGTTAGGCTCTAGGCCGCCATTGAAGTGCTGCATTAATATCACAAGGCGCAGAAGATACAGATTCATGTAGGAAACAACAATCACTTGATGTAGAACATGAGACGCAAACCACGAAATCAGAACAACGCAGTACGATTCGCATTTGTCCATATGCTCTTGTTTCCCGTCTATCCAGGAAAAAAACTGTGTAACAAGTGTAGACCTTGTAGGAAGAGCAGCATCACAAATTCGCTTTGCATTACAGGGAGAAGCTGGCATGCGCAGCTAGTATGTAGAATCACGTATGAAAGTAGCCTATAACGCAGATCCAGCATGACGAGTGTCACAGTTTTGCATTTTCTGCATCACAAAGTTACACCTACACAGCTTCTTTCTTGCATACCGTCCGGTAGTTATTCAGAGCTTGGAAGAAGTGTCCGTTCCCCAAGGAGCAGTAGACCTTATGCACTGCAAAAGTATCCTATCGTACTTGTGAAGTAGGAAAAATGCAATTTGTAATGCTGAATTTACGCAGGAGACCAGATTTGTCATGCTGTCCTGCAAGTAGTAGTAGTACGAGACAATGACAAACGACGCTTTTGCAATGCATACACCTCGACGTCTTGCGACTTCCGCAAGAGATGGATCGAAGGTTTGGGAAACCCGGTTCCGTTTTCTAGCACCACTCCCGTCCAGTTTTTCAGGGATTCCTTCCCTAACCCCCTCCCGTTCTCCTCGCTGGATTGCGTCGTTTCCCTCACTAGAACCGGGATGTCGTAACCTACGTGGCCGGAATATCCTGTGTAAAAACGGTGCCCACGACGCCCCATAGTCAAGAAAGATGGGAAATTATCTGCTAGACAAATGAACGAAGCCTTGGCTCTTGCGCATGACAAGTTTGGTCTCGTAGTGTGATACTGTTTGGCTAGTTCAGCAGGAGCATCACAGATCTAGCATATGATGCTGATTGGAGCATGACAAAAAATTCCGAACCACGACTAGAAATTGTTTCTCATGGGGTTCTTCCGCATGAGAAATATTTTCAGCATGCAGATTTGCATTACAACTACTTGGAGCAGCTGGGGACGTATTTACAAAGGATACGGTCTTAGCGTCGTTTTCCGTGATGTCTCTTTCCCGGAATCCCTTATACCGTTCTCAACTGTTACATTCTCAGCCATTACATGAGTTTGTGACGCAAGAACCGCAACAGTGAAAAGGACAAGCTTGCAGCGACAAGCTTGCAGCTCTCGCATCACAAATAATTGGGTACAGATTTAGGGACTGTTTAGCTCTTCGGGGATTTGTCATGCGAGGTAGCTTGATCTTCTGGTGGCTCATGGTATTTTTGCATGACAAATCCATGTAAAAATTGAGAATGTAACGATTGAGAATCCCGTATCCCTTCGCCATGGACTGCGAGACTTTGTGCACGTGCTCGACGGATAACCCCGTATGCCCTCGGTTGCTGTAATCTGGAATCACGTTTTTGCAGTTTACTATCTGCAACCTGGTTGATTCCGCGTATTTGGTAAGTAAGTCCTTGAGCTGCCCGACCTCGCGCTTTATGTTATCGCCGAAGGGGTCCATAGCCTTTCCATCCCAACCGGGATTGTGGTACCTGGTTTTTTTTTATTTTTATTTGGTGGAGGGCATTTGCGTTTTTCTTGGTGAAGAAACCAGAATTACACGTATAACATCTTGGTTATTTTTTTGAGAAAAGCTTCTGTCATGCCTTTGTACAACTAGTCCAGCAGCCCAAGATATCAAAAGCAAAAAGGTACTCTTACCCGCCACTCAATTGCACGCTGCCCACGTCATACTTCCCGCCTTTGTCATGGCAGTCGATGCACATGTGAAAGTCGCAAAGGATATCCTAAGCAAAAACGTCCCCACCCCATAGTCAAGATGGGGACTCGCCTAGACAAATCCACAAGCTTTGGCTGTTTTACATGACAAATTTGGACTCGTAGCGCAGTTCTGTTTGAGCTAGCTCAGCAGCATCACAGCTCTAGTACATCATGCTGATTGGAGCATGCCAAATTCCAAAACACGACTGGAAAATGCTTCTCATGGGGCTCCGCATCATCATCATCATGGAGTGGACACCCGCACCCAGCGCCACAGGTCAAGGATCCCCTCCCCGGGGGGTGGGCGAGGAAGCACTTTCGGCGACCGCATGAGAAACATTTTCAGCACGCAGATTTGCATGACAACTCTGTGGTGTGGACGTTTTCACACAGGATAGGGGAAACACCTCCACGCGCGGTCGCCGTTCGGCATCTGCTTCCCACACACCGCGCAGGGCTTCCCGACGGGAGACACGAAGAGCTTGAGACCATGCTGCTTTGGGCAATCGGTGCAGGTGGATGCTTCCTTGCCGGTGTGTTTCAAAAACGGGTTGACCTCGGAAATAATTCTTTCCGCCGGGGGCGTCACGGTCTCATCAATCAAGTCGGGGACGAGTGGGAGGGAAGAGGAGGAGGCGCCATTGGACGACATCTTGAGAATAGTTGAACTTTGACGCAGTGTGGGGTACCAGTGGTGATTTTCTTGGGCGGGTCGACGTTTATCTTTTTATTGTCAGAAGGTTTTACTAGGTGATAGAGAATATATAAGTGCAAAAATTTGTCTAGGCTACGGCGAGCTATCAGTGATACTGCTAGCCGGCTCAGATACTCACACCAGACGCGCCGGGTGTATATGTTTTTGTTTTTACTGTGCTTCAATATGAAAGCAGTGCTGGTTTCTATACTCGATGATCGCTACTCAGCTCGCACTTCGGCTTAATCATAGTTTGTTTGTTTGTCGGCTTAATTATAGTTACTGAAGGACTAGTACTCGTTCTACTCCACTAATATGCGACGTACTCTTGAGAAAAATCCTAGATATGGAAACAACCTCTACTATGTGAAAATTGCGTGAAACTTGATGAAACAACTTCAACTACTGGAAGTACATGTAATTGGATGTCTACTTTACTGCTCAAAATGGCTTCGGGTTGTAGTGGTTACTCGTGTTTTTGTTCCTTTACTACGGACGTTCCAAGACTATGGGTCGTGTTTTGGGTGTTTCAAAACTATGGGTGTGGAAGTTGCAATGGGCACCATCAAAACTGCAAGGTGGCAAGAAGCGCGAATGTCATTCTCAAACATGCACTTTTTTTGAAAATTGTCCATGCCAAGCCGGCAAAAGTAAAAACAAGAAGTATATTAACTTTTTTACAGCTGCACCATATATCATCTTGCAAGCGCCAATCATACTTGGCAGAGCATTGCGTCAGGGAATAAAACAACCGATTTCTTCGACAAATATGGGGTCAACGCCGGTACAACACAGCACTGAATGATCTACTCTCGTCTGCAGAGTGCATTGTCCACCACACTTTCTGAACACTTGGGCGTGGTAGGTCTAGGTCCTAACGCAAGCTAACGATGCTTGACAGCACAGCAGCCTGAAAAAGCAAAGATGCTTTGACGCTGCTTGTTTCTTTTCTTGAAAAAATTGTGAAAGCTGATCTTTTCACAATGATGAATGCGGAAGTATTAAGGCATCTTCAAAGAAGTGCACGACGTCGAACTACTACTGCAAAAGGTTCTTTTATTTGTGCACAATTTTTGCAAAATGTCTCCTGTGTAGAGGGTGTAGTGGCTGGCTAAGTACTTATTTTGACAGCAATAGCTGCGATGCTGGCAAGCAGCGCCGGGAGAGCTAACACGCTTGTTTCCTGTCAGCAAAGTAGACACCGTCGCGATTTTTAGATCAAAATGACTTTTTTCGCGTGAAAAGCGTCGCGAATCAGTTTGTACTCGATCAAAAACCGCTTCCCGTGCTCCATCTTCACCAAGATAGGATCCATGCCACTGGCAAAACCGGAGGAGCCGCCCGTTCCGGAAGACGCGCTGCTGGAATGCCGGTTGCCGTATCCTGTGTAAAAACGTCCCCACCCCATAGTCAAGTTGGGAATCTAGCAACACAAATCTCCAAGCTTTGGGAACTGTACATGACAAGTTTCCCTCTGCAGTGTAGTGCTGGTTGGTAAGGGAAGCCGCATGAGAAAGTCATTTTCTCATCCTGTTTACAGCATTACAGATTTTTCCAAAACACGATTGGAAATGCCTCTCCTTGGGCTGCGCATTACAAATGTTCCTGTCATTGCGCATTTGCATGACAACTCTGGGGTGGGAACGTTTTTACTCAGGATATGCCGAGACGGCTGCTCATGGACGGGAGCCCCGGCATCGCCGGGCTGCTACCGGTAGTGGTGTTCAGGTTCAGGCCGCTGGAGTGGCCTGGTGTTGAGAAGCATAAAGTACATACACGACTTTGCATCACAAAGAATCATCATCATCATCATCATCATTTATCCTGCACTAGGTGCGAATTCTGCATGACAAGGAATTTAATGCGAATTCTGCATGACAAAAACGGGAGTAAGGCAAAGGATAAATAAGTACGTCCATGACTCGTCTGCGGCGTTGGAACATTATCCCCGTGTCTCTTTCGGTGGACGGTGAATCCCAAGGGGTCGACCACCTCGCAAAATACCGACTGCTCGAATTATCCTGCGTCAAAGCGTACTTACCCACAATTATCTCATGTTTGTCATGCAGATCAGGATTCGATTTCGAACGTCGACTTCTCATGCGCCTCCTGCGCAACTGTAACTACCACGACTACATTTACAGATCCAAGGTTCGCATGCAGCACGACAACCACAATTTGTTGTTGTTGATTTGTGTTGTAGCAAGAATGATGTTGACTGCGACGCGGGTAAGTAGGGGTACTACGTTAATATTTTCTACCCCGGATAAAAATTTCGGCTTGGACATGCGGGATAGTGTCTGCTTCGCTTCAAAACCCTCCACATCCATGATCCAGCCACCTGGAGGGTCGTTTTCATTTGTTCATAGAATTCTTTCTGTTGCTGAGTGTCGCAACACAGCAGGCCGTTTGTCATGCAGCTTGTCGCATTGGCATCTTACTGTTACTTGTACTTCTGTATCTGTCTCATGTATGTAGGAAAAAACTGTACGTTGCGGCAGCTGCGAAATCAGTCGGTGCTCGAAGTTATCCTGTGCAAAAGCATCGTAGTCGTACTAATCCCAGTCATGCAAGACAAGTTTCTTGCTCAAGCTAAATCAAGATGACAAATTCCATTTTTCATCATGCCGACCTAATTTGTATTGCAATACTACGAGTACTACGATACTTTTGCAGTTCATAGAAGTGGAACTTTTGTGCTTCCCACAACCTCTCCGCTACAATTCTTTCTCGTTCGGACAACTGGTCCCTGGCGCGGGCGTCAGTCGCGTAGAACAGCGCGTGCTCCTCGATTTTCCGGATTCTCAGCCGGATGTAGTCCTTCAAGATGTAGCGGTAGTAGTGCAGGTCGAGTAACGCTACGGATTCTTGTTCTTTCCGGAACAGTATCAACTGTAAAAGTATCGTATTCGTACTTGTGTAAATGCATTACAAACTTCCTCAGCATGAGAAATAAAACTTGTAATGCTGATTTACCTCAAGAAAAAGATTTGTAATGCATGATTGCAATACGAGTACGATACTTTTGCACGGGATAAACAGCTCATCCTCGCCGTCTAATTCGTCCAAATAGGCGTTGATCGGCTGGTTTAAGGACATTGAAGCTACGACATGCATTGCAAAAGTATCGTACTCGTACTAGTAATTGCAGCTAGGCATGACATTTTGATTTTCGTGGGCTAAATCAGCATTACAAATTCCATCCGCCATGCAAGCAAAGTTGTATTGCAATTTCTACTAGGAGGCACGATGTAATTTTGCAGTTCATACGCGGTGCTGTTACTCAATTCCTTCAAAACCTCCTCCTGCACATCTAGTTCCTCGTTGAAGTCTTGCAGCAACTCAAAATCGAAGGGCGTCACCTCGGGACAGTGTTTCTCGTTGGTCCACGCGATTTTAAACTTGCGGATCAAATCCAGCAACTTCGCCTGTTCTTGGTCTTCGTCGATATCGTCTAGATCGATGTCGTTTCCCGCTGCATTATTTCCCCCTGTAGTTGCGTTATTCTTGTCGTTTATTCCCCCGTTCTGATCTCCTACTCCTCCGTCGTTATCCGTGCCCTTTTCAAGAACATCTTCGTCCTCATTTCCTTCCAAGATCGTGTCAAAAACCGACATTGCGAGGTTGTTTGGGTTTCTTTTATTGATACCGCTATTGCTCTTGTTCTGGTTATTCGCGTTGTTGAAGACGCCACCAGACTGCGCAACTCCTTGTCCACTTTCATCTAGCCCGTCGCTTTTCTCAAAATGCGCGTGTCGGCCGACTTTTTGCTGCTTCACATTTCCCTTGAAGATGTCCGTTGTTTGTGGTGGGATGTAGTTCTCGTCGTCGACATCGGGCTGCTGCGGGGGTTGTCTGTCTTGCCGTGCACCCGCGCCTGGTATCAAATGCAAAAATGTCTGGGTCTGGAAGGTTGCCAGGTTTGTCATGCATATTTTGCATGACCCATGATGCTTGTAAAGCATGGCCTAGCATCACAGACTTTTAAAGGGCATCCTGATGCCTATTCCGCATGATAAATTCCCTTCCGGCGTAACACAAAATGAGCTCCTCTTCTTGCGGTCATGCAATACAAATGTTCTTAGGATCCGAAGATAGCATCACAAGTTGAAACCTTCCCGACCCAGACATTTTTACAGTTGATACCCGGCCCGGCATCACTACTGTCACCATCTCGGAACTGCGGCAAGAGGTTCTGGTTCTGCAGGTCACTTCCGACGTTGCTGCTGCTGGAACCGGCAGCTGCACCAGGACCTGCTCCGGGCGGCAGTTTTACATTGCGATTGTTGTTTATCCCCGCCCCGGATCTCGAATCTAATACCGAAGAATTGTTGTCTCCATCGTCCTGTCTGAGCGATTCAATATTCTGCTCTTGCCGCATCGAGTCATGCTTATGCATTGCAAAATTATCGTACTAGTATAAATGGCATTACAAATTTGCTCAGCATGAAAGCTGGAACTTGTCATGCTGTTTTACCTTAAGAACAACATTTGTCATGCAAAATTGCAATTAGTACGAGTACGATACTTTTGCACAGGATAATGCTCCTGTCCCATCGATTCGTTTTGTATATTGGAGTCGTTGTTGGGATTATTATTTCTGCTGGGTTGGTCATTTACAATTACATTCCGATGATTCGTGTTTATAACTCCTCGACCTCCCGCGAGAACCGAAGAACTTGACACCGCACCACCCGCTTGGTTGTTGGAAACAGACCCGAGATTATTCGCATTAACGTTGAGTCGCGCCCGGTCTCGGCTATTGGGCGTGAACACCGTGTCGTGCTGCCCGTAGGGATTCTCGAGCCCCGCGGGCGTACCGTCGGCCTGATAATGACATTTTTACTTTGCTTTACGTACTCACTTAAGAACTCAGGCACGATCATACATAGATAGACGTGACCGGAAACAAGAAAGGTTCTTCACACAGTTTATGTAAATACCGGCAGCCGCACAGATGAGTTATTGTTCCCCCCGGCGGCGACCCGGCCTGGTGCTACGCTCGATGGCGGCGCGTAGGGATTTCTGTTGCCCGCGGGAGTCGAGGCAACCGCCGCGGAGGAACCTCCCCCTCCGTACGGATTCGCACTGTCCCCCGCGACTGACGGTCCTTGCGACAACGGCACGCCGTAGGGGTTCGCATCCGGGTCCTCCTCGTCTTCTTGCATGTGAAGATCCCGGGCGTTGTCGGCGTTTGCCTCCGCGCCGTAGGGGTTGTTATCGTTGCCATCATCTGCGACGGATTCGTCCTCGCCGTAAGGATTGCCGACGTTGGACTGATTCTCGTCTTCATCGACATCGTCCGCCCCGTAGGGGTTGCCCGCTTCACTCATTCTTGATTTTGATGATGCGGCCTTATCTGAAAAGCGTTCTAGATGTGGCTGCAGTCGACTTTCGTGTTGGAACAACCGCAAAGATGGGCGTGCAGCTTCTTCAGGATTGTTCTCTTCCTATGTCTGTGCATGGTAATCTTAAATGTTTTTTACGCTAGTAAGATCTGGTGCTTTCTTCGGGAGGTTATTGGGCCGCTTGTTCCTACGCTATGTCTAATTTACCAAACGGCACACCTAGAACTACAAGCCGCTCCATCATAGCACCAGTGGTGTCTGTCTCATTACAAAAAAGATCGTCATCCTCACGCCAACGACCGGCAGCTCTTCCTTCAGCAACAACGGGGAGACTGACGCACACGCTTCTTGTTGTATCCGGTAGTTGCGAACACGGTTCAACATACGAACGCAGCGACAGTCGCAGCGCGTCCACAGGTAGTTCGTCGTAACTACCCCATAAACAATTTGGGAATTTCATTTCGGCGTTGATTTTGGTTTGGATTGGCGTGGGCGTAAGAGTAGAAAATTCCGGTCTTTAATACTTCCACGGATGTAGCAAATATTTGAATGTAGCCTTGGTAGAAGAGCAGTCATTTGAACCTCCTAGCAACAGAAGGTCAAACATCGGAAAAAACAAAAAGGTTGAAATTTTTTTGGGCGATAGGTCAGTACTGAGATAAGGAAGATAGCAAAACGCGAAGACCTGTACTAGAATCTTCCGCGTAGCTGCGCTGCAACTCGTGGCATCAAAACAGGGGCGCAAAGGAATAAGCTCTCCTTTTTCATCTTGAATGGCGTGGCGGGGTGCGGTATCTACTATTCGTGTCGCGTGGTGAAAGGCACTTACTAAGCACTTTTCTTATATCTTCTTCAAAGTAAGCGGTGGTCGTTAGGTGTGAAGAAGTTTTGCTTTTGGTTCTGTTACTTACCCTGCTGTCGTTAGATTTCGTTGGTGGAAAAAATAGCGGTGATGTAGGAAAATGTTCTCAGTAGGTGATAAGTATCCTCAAAGCCTGGTATCAAAAATTTTGTACATGCGCATACGTCAAATCCATTGTTTGTACAGCAGAAATTGCATGGCTTTGTTCGCGCAGTTTTTGATAGTCCAGCTTGCTGAAAAAAAGCGGTCGCAATTCGCCGGACAATTGGCCATAGCACGGGGTCGTGGACCACCGTAACTCTGATTCATTACTGGTGAATAAATCAGGTGATATAATGCTACGGGGAAAATTACCATTCCCGGGTACTTAGTACGGATGGCCGAAAAGCTTGCTACCAGACTACTAGACCCGTGCGGAAGATGTTTTTTAGTCCAGTACCAGTTTACCAGAGAGGCGCAACGAAAACCTTAAAAAGCGTAGATTTTGTCGCATGCCACATATGATAAACAAAGCAATGCCGCACTAGACCTATCGACGTCGGCGAAGACGCTTTTAATCACTTGTCTGCACACAGTAGAGTACAACTAGAGCGGCCGTACTCGCATGTAATATTGTCCCAAAAATATCATCATGTGGTTCAGAAGCAAAGTCTACTACTGTGTACATTTTTGCTTTGAAAGGAGTACGAATTTTCATGGCGTTTTAGTGACTCGAGTGAGTAGAAGTGTACGGCAAAAAATGGATCGATGTTTTATCTTTCGTTTCACGATTTCTGTCTTGTTGTTAGGCTTCAGATTTTTTGTTGCAAAATTAAGTATATTCAACATGGGCTGTATCTCATTTTCTATCCTCCAAACTAAGCTGCTCCACCTCTGTGCTACAAAGCACAGTAGTAGAAACACTGCATCTTTTTCTTGTACGTGTCTCCGAAAATAACCCCGAATCAAATCTCCATCGTCATCGAATCTTCTTGCTCAAGCCCCCGTCGATTTACTGCTGATCGACGCCCCGCTTCCCGAACTGTTCATGGTCGTATGCATTGCAAATCCGTCTGGGTCTGGAAGGATGCAAGAACTTGTGATGCTGCATTTGGATTCTAGAAAAATCTCTATTGCATGAGCAGTAAAAGGAATCAAATTTTTGCTAGTACGCGGACAGGGCATTTGTCATGCGGGATAGGCATCAAGAAGCCCTCAGAAAATCTGTGATGCTAGCACAGACATCACAGGCGTCGTGGCTCATGCAAAACCCGCTTAGCAACCCTTGCATTCTTCCAGACCCAGCCATATTTGCGGTTGATATGTCGCCGTGCTGGACAACGTATTCGTGCTATCCCCACTCGGCTTCAACGCACCACTACTGCTCCCGACGAGCAGCGGGATGAAGCTCTTCACGTCCACTCCTTCGGAGAACGCGCAGGTGTTGATGGCGGTAAAGAGCGGGAACTTCGCGACACAGTCGTGCTTCAGCAGCACCGTCTGGATCTCCTTACTGGTCATATCCTGTGCAAAAGTATCGTACTCGTAGTAATCGCAGCCATGCATTACAAATTTCTTTCTCAAGCTAAATCCACATTACAAATTTTATTTCTCATGCCGAGCAAATTTGTAATGCGATTCATACTAGTACGATGCTTTTGCATTTCATAGGTCAGGGTTCCCTGCAATTTCTGGCCGTTCAAGAGCTCCTTTTCGATTTCCGCCCACAGTTGGTCCTTCTTGTTACTGCTGTCGGTCAAATCAAATCGCTTCGCAAACGCCTCCGCGCACTTTCGATTCCGCCCGCCGAAGCAAGTAGTGATGATGTCCGCCACACCGCAGGACTCGAAGAAGGTGCTTGGGGAATCCGTGCCGTAGAACATGTGGACAAACTCGCGCATTTCCACCAAACCCTTTCGGATTAAAGCCGCTTTGGTGTTCGATCCCAACCCGAGTCCGTCGCAGAAGCCGGCACCAACCGCAACGATGTTTTTCAAGGCGCCGCAGAGCTCGACACCCGGGACGTCCGGGACGGTGGAAATCTGAAGTTTATTTTTGACTTTGTCCGTCGTGTTATTTTCGCATGACAAATTCGGGACAATGTAAAGATCTCCTTTTTTGATTTTGCGGACTGTGCATGACAAACAGCATAAGAATTTCACATTCACCAACACAAATTTTTTCTCTATACCTGAAACGATTCCTCCAGATGAAACAACTGCTTTAGCAACTCAGATGTCAGGTGCCCATGTCCGGTCGTCGGGTACCCAATCGTCGCTTCGCAAAACTGGCCCTCCGCCACTTCGTTTGCCAGATTCGCGCCCATCAACACGTGGCATTCGTGACCCATCTCTTTCGCAATCAGCTCGGAGCAGAGCTGAATTTCCCCGTCCACAATGTCGATGCCGCCCTTGATTAAGCTGATGGAGATCTGTAGGTTTCAGATAAGTACTAATTGTGACCCACGACATCGATGATAAGCATGCTGTTCTGCATGACAATTGCAAAACTTAATTCAGTATCTGCATAACCAAATCTTCATCCCACGACTAAATCTAAAACCTAAAAATATTACCGCATCCTTAGCACAGCTCTCTTTCACCGCCCCTGTCATCCGCGTCACGAACTGGTGCGGCACACACCAGATGAGAATGTCCGCGTTTAAGCAGGAGGATTTCAAATCATTGTTCGCGTAGATCGAGTTGGGCAGGCGGATGTCCGGTAAGTATTTGACATTCACATGGGTTTCGTTGATGACTTCGGACAGGTTCCTTTTAATCAGTTCCACACCATCTTTCACGAAGCAAGCGGGTGAATTGTTCCCAGAAACAGTGGAACTCGGTGTCGGCTGGTCCGGAACTGGCAGTAAGTCGAGGAGTTTTTTCTTGCTCATTTCAATCTGCTCCTCATACTATGAACTGCAAAAGTATCGTACACGTACTAGTATGAATTGCATTACAAATTCGCCCAGCATTTTACAAATGGAATTTGTAATGCTGATTTACCTTGAGAAAGGGATTTGTAATGCATAAACGCAATTACTCCGAGTACGATGCTTTTGCACAGGATACATAAACGTACATGTTGATGATCGGCTCGAACAGGTTTGGGTATCAAATGCAAAAATGTCTGGGTCTGGAAGGATGCAAGGTTTGTCGTGCACATTTTGCATGACTCCTGATGTCTGCGATGCATGCCCTAGCATCACAGATCTTGTGAGGGCTTTCTGATGCCTATACCGCATGAGAAATGCCCTCCCGCCGTGGCCAAAACCAGACCTCTTGTGCTGTTCATGCAATACAGATTTTTGGATAGTGCAGACCCAGCATCACAAGTTGCATTCTTCCAGAGGACCCAGACATTTTTACATTTGATATCGGGTGTTTCTCCACATTCTTCCCGATAATCGTCGCCACCGCAGACCCCCAATTCCCGGAACCAATCAACGCGACTTTGTGCTTCTTGGTCGCGGCCGTCGTGTGCTGTTGCGTCGGCACCAAAGCCGGGGCGACGACCGCCTTCGCTGCGTTGGAGGAGGTGCAGAAACCCTTGAGCATTTTAGTATTCGAAGATGATTTCGGGGAGGTGGTGTTTTGGATATTTTCAGAGTGATCTTGCTTCTGTTTCTTAGTGGTGGAAAACTGCTCAAGATTTTTGCTAGCTGTAGTTGTTTTTGAAGAGGATGACAATGGTAATCCGGCAGATTCTTCGTATAACCTGCTCAGGTGTTACAATCTCAACCGTTACAATAGAGTCTGGAATTTGTGTTGCAAGAAGTGCATTATCTAGCCAGCTCTCATAGGATTGCGCATGGCAAGTTCTGGAGTCCCAATCCGCGCTACAAAAATCTGGCGAAATTTGTATTGCAGAAAGTGGAATACCGTCCGAGTCTGTCATGCTCATCATGCAATACAAAACCGAGACTCTATCGTAACGTTTGAGATTGTAACGTTTGAGCAGGTCATACTTCGTTGGGCCTTTTTTTCGGGATGGGGGAGGGAGACCGCTTGGGGCTAGCCATCTTCGTCATGATGAATCTTTAGGTGGGTAGAAGTAAGAGAAATCGCGAAGAACAGAAGATTTTTGATATCAGTCAGAAACCGAAGTGTAATAAAAACACGAATTGCACGCGGCTTGATGTTCCCCTGGTCAAGATCTTTTTATACTCGTTCTGCGTCGAAATTAAACGAATTGCGCGGTCGTGCGAAACTACTTACAACCCCGGATAAGTTCTGAATTTCTTCCCAAGTCGATGTCTCGTGTCCTATTGGTGCTGTCTAGAAGAGTCTTTCTGATTCTGTACTACAGAATCCTGATCGAGAGCGCTGCGTTGGTGTGGTGAAGAGAGAAGTGACAATGAGAAGATAATGCGCTGGTGTCGTTGTAAAAATTACAATGGTCAACAAGATTGGGTCCTGGCGAGATGAAAAATAGATGTAGGGCATTTGTTTCTCAGAAACCGCATTTGTTTTTCAGACACCATGTTGTCGCAACATCACTCGCTTTGTTTTTCTACACATCTTCACAGCCGATATCGATAGAAGTGGAGGTCTTCCGATTCTTATTGCAACTGACACTGAAGATTGCTTCGCTAGGCGCTATTAGGCGTCGAACTTTTGTGTCTAACCTCCTGCGATATCATGAGATAATTGTCGCTGCCGATCTTATCTTGCAATTCGCTTTGTTCTTGAACGTTCCGTGCTTTTTTCAGCTTGTTCTTTGCGCTGTCTGTGGTCACAAAGGACAACTATACTTCAATCAAATACAAATAGAATGTCAACAGAGCGGCCTCGCTGTGCAATAGAATTCACATCTTGTGTGACCGAACGCGGCACGACCGGCAGCTTAGGGCTAACGCTAGGTCCTTGCGCCATCAAACATCATCAAATAACCGAGTTCGTTTTTGCTACTTGAGCATGTGAACAATTCTTTCTACCTCTGCTGAGCGGCCTAGAGATCATCTTGAGCGACCGAGAATTCTGCTGGACTCAAGATCGAGAATATAGCGGGCGAGATGCTTGCTACTCTTCAAATGAGAGAACCCAATACGCGAGAGAAATTGTAGAGCGAGAGCCCCATGTCTCTCACAGGCTTGCTTGGCCGCGTCGAGAGGTTTTCTCCAGTTTGGCAAGGGCAACGAGGCTGAGAACCGCCGAACCGACCCCACACAGGCACCGTGCCGCGGGACGGCCTCCTTGTACTTGTAGCCCCGCCCGAGATCACGCAGCCGCCGCCCCGGCGCGTGCGCGCGCAGGGCTGGCCTGCGAAAACAACCCGCGCGCAGGGCCGCCAGCATTGCGGGAGGCGCTCCCCACATTCATATAATCAAGATAGACACCCAGCGGCCCGGCGCCGACAGAAAACTTGGGCGCCCCCCGAGAACTTCGGAGACGGTTCTGGCCCCTGGATGCCCCAGAGGCTGGCACAGTGCGGGGCGGCACTTTAGGGGCCCCCCCGCCCACATGAATGAAAGCAATACGCGCGGCCCTTCCCCACCCCCCACCGCCGCACCCACCGGCAAAAGCCGGCGCGGGGTACGGGCGCAGGGCAGCCGCTGCCCGGTGTGTTTATTTCGTGGCGGCATGCGCCGGCGCCCTTGCTTCTTTTCTGTCGCGAAGTTTGCCTGCGCGAGCGCGGGCAGGAGCCGCCAAAAGGCTGCGCGGCCCGGGCTTTCGCTTTAGGCGATGCGCCGGCGCTTTTCTTTGGCCCGGCGCAGCTGGTCCTTCCTGTTCGGAATTGTATCGAGAAGCGGGGCCGTCACCTCGTGGGCCTCGTCGGGCAGCGAATTTGACAGGCTCTCTCTCTAGGTTCACTAGGACACTCGCCTTCCCCTTGGCGCGCGGTTCAGTGAGAGAGCGCGCGCGCGAGCGACAAGTGTGCTCGCGGCTGAGTCTACCGTCTGCAGCGTGGTTGCGCCGGCCAACGTGGTGTCTGCCGTGAGCCGAGTGACGGCCCCCTTCGCCTTCGAGTAGACGCACGCGGCCGTCTTCGAGAATTTCTTCTGGGGCGCGACCGCGATGGCTCGCGTGGGCAAAGCAACTTGGAAGGCAGTGTCTGTGCCGGCCTGCGCCGGCCCGCTATCGAATCGGAGCCCCCGGGCCTTGCGCCCGGCTCTTCGCTTGGCCGCGGCCCTCGGTCGCTAAAACCACCCATCGCGGCACCGCACGGCAGCCCGGACGGCCCACCGCGGAGCGAGACCGGGGGCCGGCGGCTGGCTCTGCCGGCGCGAAGGGCCTGGGGCTAAGTGCCACGGCCGCCCGTGCGCGCCACGCGACTATCTAGGCCCGAGCCAACGGCGCGCGCAGAACCAAGGGGCGGCCCGCCTTCCCGAATCGGGGGCGCACTCCGCCACGCGCAGGGGCATGGCCACACAGCTGCCGGGCATGTGGATCGCGCGGGCGCAGAGTGATCAACCGACGGCCCTCCCGCCTGCCCTCGCAAATAACCCGGCCCCGGCGGCGACGTTCTCCAATTCTGCCCCCGACGGAATCGGGGCCCGGCCCTCCGCCGTCTTTCTTCCCGCTGCGAAGTCGCCCGCGTGGTCCTTTTGCAACGACATCCACAGCACGCAGACGCGGCGGACCAGGGTCACGCGCTGAAGCATCTCGGGGCCCTTCTCTGCCGACCCCTGGACCCCAAACCCCGCCGCGCGCAAGTTTGCGGCCTTGCCTTGACGAGCCTGGTGGATCAGCTCGAGCTTGTGCAGCCTCGTCTTTTAATATCCAAAACGAAGTGAGAACATCTTGCTCAACCGGAAAGAAGTAAGTAAGTGAACAAGTCAAAACTTCCCACGCTTCCATCGTGGGACTTAGGCGTCCACCAGTGGTGCGGTCGACATCAATCATCATGATGTTGACGGAGCTTGTTTACTATTGCTGCTTTTATTTCAATTTCTTCATCATTGATCTGTTTCTGTACAATTCGTTCTTACGAAAAAAATCTCAGGAAGTTTGTGCACCGTCGCGCCACGGCGTTCATTTTTGCATGTTATAAACCTGTTGTGCTTTCATGTTCTTCATTGCTTGGCAATCCCAGATTTTTTCTTTATTTACCCACTGTATTCTATCTACAGTTGCTGTTTCAAAAAAACGTACTCCTCAAAGTATTAGCATTTTCAACGTGAACTTGATCTAAGTAAACCGCGCTTAAATTATCCTGTTGCTTGCGTTTTGTGCCAACTGTTGGTCATCTGAGTGTAAGAGTAAGTGTGCTTTATTGCCCTTTCTTCGTGTAGTTGCTGCTATCATTTTACAGTTGTATTGCTTTACTTACTTATGCAGGCTCATGAGAGCCCCGCCCTCCATCCGCTTCTCCACCTCCGACAGTTTCCTCACGTCGGGCGCACAAACACGTTATGGGAGTAGTTCTCTCAAACGTTAGTACACTCTCTACTTTTACATGAATTCGTGCTGCAAGAATTAGAATAGCAAAAGGAAAAGCGACAGGGGGGGGGCTTACCCTTACGCTTATACCTCTCGCATATACAAATTTACCACAGGAGATCACTCCCAGGCTGTTTGGCCCTTCGAAAATTTGTCATGCGCAGTAGCATAGCTTGGTCGTGTCGATCGCCTGCTGGACATCTAGCATGACAAACAAGGTCCACGCGTGGGGACAGGGTCCCCACGCTGGGGCCTTGTGCGCACCCCTAGTGGCGCGAGTGGGAGAACATTGCTCGGCATCGCGGCGGACAGAGTCCGTCCCTCGCCTCACATCAGGCTCGCGCGCAGTGGCTTAGTTCGCAAAGCGGTAGGGGGGAAGGGTGTTCGGCATCAGTGCGGACATCGTCCGCCAGTCGGCCTCGCCTCACATCAGGCGCGCGCATAGTGGCTTAGTGCGCGAAGCGCTACAGCCGGGCGCAGGGTGTTCCTTCGGCAGCGGGGCGGACAATTCGAAACCGCCCCTGGAAAAGAAGTCCGGTCTCAAAGTTAAAGTTGCTTTTGTGCATCACAGGTCGGCGGCTTCCCTCTCGTTGCGGTATGGAATTTCTACGCCGCCTCCTGCAGGAGCCAAGGCAATTTCTACGCCCCTGCCCCGGCCCCCGCAGGACGCGGCGTAGAAAGTCCATACCGCCCGGGAAAAGAAATCTCCGATCTGTGTTGCGCGTAAGCAACTTCGAGGCCGGATTCCTTTCCCAGGACGGTATGCGTATGGAATCTCTACGCTCCTGCCCCGGCTCCCGCAGGACGCGGCGATGAAAGTCCATACCGCCCGGGGAAAGAAATCTCCGATCTGTGTTGCGCAAAAGCAACTTCGGGTCGCGCTGTAGCTTGGTCGTGTCGATCGCCTGCTGGACATCTAGCATGACAAATCACGATGTAACAGCTGACGAGTGTAATTTCATTTGAGACCTCCATACCTGTTGCAGATCTCGTAGGAGTACCAGAGGAAGGTGTCTTGTATCGTGAAGAAAAATCCCCCTACCTCCTCATATCGGAAAGGAAATTTGTGATGCTGGATGTGCGTACTACACAAGTCGGCTTGTATTGCTAGAAGACCAGCAGGAGACGCAGTTACGACCTTACTTGCAGGCAAGTTGTCATGCTGTTTGCCACTTGCAGTTGCCTCCTGTCATGCTGAAGATGCAGGGCTTTATTCCCACGCCAGCCAGCACTACAGTCCGCATCTTTTGCCTTCTAGCATGACAACGTGATTTGTGGTTGCGATTCATGCTACACAAATCTCCGCTCTGGTATAGGGAAGAGGGGGGATTTTTCATTTTGATATCTTGGTTCTCGCTCTTCGTCACATCGCTCAAGCCCTCGCAGTATCAAATGCAAAAGTGTCTGGGTCTGGAAGATTGGAACTGGTGATGCTAACTTTGGATTCGAAAAAAATCTGTATTGCATGACCAGCAAGAGGAGTCTAGTTTGTGCTACGCGGGGAGGGCGTTTGTCATGCGGAGTAGGCATCAGGAAGCCCTCTAAAAACATATGATGCTAGGGCGTGCATTACAGACGTCCTGGGTCATGCAAAACATGCGTGACAAGTCTCAGAATCTTCCAGACCCAGACATTTTTACATTTGATACGCAGTTCGGTCCATCTGGATATCCCGGGGCGTTGGAGTCCAGCGGATTCCGGACGATCTTGGTGTTCTCTTCCGAGGTTGTCTTCACGTAGCACCTATGCATTGCAAATATGTCTGGCTCTGGGTCTAGATTTGTATAAATATAAAATGCAACACCTCAAGGACAACAAGATCTGTGATGCGTGAACACGATTGACCATTTTTTTTGTCGTGCTGGAAGTCAGCTTGTCATGCTAAACACGAATGAACCCGCGGCGATAAGCCGAGGATAACTTGTCATGCTGTTATGCCGTACAACAAGAAACCAGTCTGCAATGCAAGTATCAGCAACACAAGTTTTATTTCCAGACCCAGATCGATATTTGCATTTGATAGCACCACTTGTCCGCGCACCAGTCCTATCCTGTGCAAAAGTATCGTACTCGTATGGCAATCGTGCATTACAAATCTTGCTCTTAAGGTAAATCAGCATTACAAATTTTATCTCTCATGCTGAGGAAATTTGTAATGCATTTATACGAGTACGATACTTTTGCAGTTCATAAGTCCGGCCTGGTATCCAGGTTCGCGCAATCCGTGTTCGCGCCCACTATGAAAGCTGCAGGATCGAAATCAACAAAATCGAAATAATTTGTGATGCATAAAATCGATACCAGTTGGAACCTCAGTTTCCAAGTGGCGCATGACAAATTTCGGGAGCGCCAAAATCTAGTCTGTCATGCTGTTTTGGCAAAGAAGACTGCTCCTGTCATGCTACTCTGCCAGCACATCGTCTCCCCTAAACAGGCTTGCAATCGGTCTCATTTGCCTGCTCCCCAACACAGGCCATTCGTGCCCTACATTTTATGCACTACAAATTTTTCGATTTTGTCGATTTCGATCCTGACACTCGCATACCCGCAACGCCTTTTTTGCCGCCCCCAAACACGTTTCTATCCGTGTTCTCCTATCAAAAGGAAAAATCCTCCCTCCCCATATTGAAAAGCTATGTTTCCGAAAATTTGCGTTGCTGATTTGAGGTCACAAATCGTGTCTGTCTTGCAAGACAGCAACGGCATCCGCTCCGCCCCATTATGCTGGCGGTTTGTAATGCTGTTGGTCCTACAGCATAGGCGTTCCCCATGCTAAGCGCCTAGGCCAAAACCTCTGCGCACTGGCATGATATCGGCCTGCAGTCCGCTACTGCAAGACAAATCTGATTTGTGTACGCAAATCCAGCATCAGAAGTTTCGTTTTGATATGGGGTGGGGGCTTTTTTCACTTTGATATCTCCCAGTACGCACAGTACTCCCCGTAGTTAGGAGCGCCACCGTACACGCTCTGATAGACTTTTCCGTATTCAGTGTCGTCCTGCTGCGCGGTGAGCCATGTGGGATTTCCCCCCGAGTTATCAGAGTGCACAACTTCCCCTCCCCCTCCTTTCTACTTACCATGCCATGAACAGCAATACAGACACGAGCTCAAAATGAAAATGTAAATGAAATGGACCCTTCGCATGACAAGTTGATGCACCTATAACGTAGTACTGATGTTTCGGCTTCCGAGTAGATTTGTCATGCCAACCGTGCCACAATGCAACGATAGGATTTCGGATTTTACATTACAAATGAGCGTCAGGGGAAATTGTGCATTGTCATACAGTGCGGAAACGGCGCTGTCGACGTCCTGTGCCCTCTTCAACGGGCAGTCTCTGATATCCCACCCCTGCTATCCTATGTAAAAACGTCCCCACCCCAGAGTTGTCATGCAAATGTGCAATGACAGGAACATTTGTAATGCGCATCTCCACGACGAGAGGCATTTCCAAACGTGTTTTTGCATTTGTGATGCGGTACACAGGATGAGAAAACGGCTTTCTCATGCGACTTTCCTTGCTAACCAGCACAGCAGTTCAGCTGGAAACTTGTTATGCAGAACCCCCAAAACTTGGAGACTTGTGTTGCAGATAATTTCCCATCTTGATTCTGGTGTGGGGACGTTTTTACACAGGATACCTGCCACTCCTGAACCTTGGTCGTATCGACCAGGCACCCGCTCTTGAAAAGATGGCACTTTCCCGGTAACTATGAACTGCAATAGAAGTATCGCACTCGTGTAAATGCATGACAAATTCCCTCAGCATGAGAATTAAAATTTGCAATGCGGATTTACCTTGAGAAAAAAATTTGTGATGCATGAGTGCAATTATTACGAGTACGATATTACTTTTGCACAGGATAGTAAGGGCAGGCTGACGAAAAAGGTGGCGCAGTCGGTATGAAACTGCACAACTCCCCTCCCCCTCATTTGTATAGCGTGAGCAGCAACAGAAGCAATGCCACAAATGTAGCTTTATTTGCATGACAAATCCGTAAGTGGAATGGAGTTCTATCCCGGCCGCGTTCAAAACTTGTCATGCGCAGAGTGCTTAAACAAAGGCAAGGCGTGGATTAAGTATTTTGCATGGCAAATGAGGGGGAGGGGGAGTTGTGCACCGTCATAGTCGGGCTCTTTGGAGCACAGGTACCGGCAGTCCCGGATTCGGTGGCCACCTATCGCACGAAAAAACTGTTGCATCACTGTACGGACTTCGCATGTTTTGCATCACAAGTTCGATAGTACACATGACAAATCAAACTTGGCATGCGTGCTTCCTAACGCTAAGGATAAACACAGCTAGAAATCCAATAAGTCTTGCATGTGTAGCAAGACCAGAACTTCTGTGTAGTTTCGTTCTCTCCTGCATCACAAGTTTACAATGCAACAAAGGTGTATTTTTCTTGCGATACCACTCGCGCGATCTTCATACTGGGTGATTAGCATCCCCTCTGTTATCAAATGCAAAAATGTCTGGGTCTGGAAGAATGCGGGATTTGTGATGCAGCTTTATTTCCATGACCCATGAAGTCTGGAATGCAGGACCTAGCATGACAGATTCTGCGCGAGGATCTCTCTCATCCTCATGCCTATCCTGCGTCAGAAACTGCCTGTGCCTCTCGATTAGGTCAAAATAAGTGGACAGCTTTTGGTAATCATGCAACACAGATTTTTACATCCTTCAGATTTAGCATGACAAGTGGCTTTGTTCCAGACATCCAGAGATTTTTGCATTTGATAGCTGTGTCGGTATTCGTAATTGCCTGACCCGAGGGCGCACTGCAGTAGCCTTGGTAGGTAGACAGGCACTATGACAGAAAAAAAGTGTTACAGGGGCACATTTGTTGGAATTTCAGTGACGGAGAAAACCTGTGATGCGCAGACTATAAGGGAAAACACGAATGAAATGAGGCTGGCGAGCATTTCGTGCATGACAGAGGTCGTCTGTCTTGCTTGTCTTCCATTAGAGTGTGCAACTGTAACCCTTTTTTCTCGTGATAAGCACAAATCCGGGTTTATTAGCGGGACGGCAGTTGAGTCGATGCAGTTCGCCGCGTTTATGGCGTTCTCAAATCGGTTACCTTCTCCAGTCGTGTTACATGAATTTGTAAAAATGCAAGGACAGCAAGAGTCAGGGTGGCAAGCTTGCTGCTTTCGCATCACAGACTTGGCACAGATTTAGATTCTGTTTGGCCCTTCGTAGATTAGTCCTGCGATGTAGCTTGATCATCTGGTGCTGGTGGCTTTTGGTAGTTTTGCATGACCAATCCATGTAACAGTTGAGAATGTAAACATTTGAGAATCCCGTAGCGTTATTCTCCAGGCTGTAAACGCGGTACTTTGTGATCCAGTCATCTTGAATTTTGGTGGCACAGCTATCGCAAGAAAAAACTGTTTCACTGTGGACTTGTGATGCATAGAATGGAACACAGAACCATTTGTCTTGCTACACCTGCAAGGCATTGAATTTTTAAGCGTGCTTTCCCATGGAAGGCACGCATGGCAAATTTTCTGTGTCATGTGTAGCAAACTTGTGATGCGGATCTTGCAAAACCATCACCGTGAAACAGTTTTTTCGTGGGATAACAGCTACCCTTTATGCATTTTTGCACACATCTCTGGATGTCTGGAGTTGCGATGCGAGAATTGCGAAGGACACCAGAATCTTTCATGCATGAACGCGAAGATTCTTGGCCAATTCTTTTGTCGTACTACTGGCAGCCACTTTGTCATGCGTCCATTCTACTGTAAGTATATGAATGAACTTGTAACAAGGTCCCGTCGCTAAATTTCTCATGCTACTGTGCAGCCGTACACAGGGATTATACTCTCTGTGCGACATCATCACCAGTTCTGCGAGTAGTATAATCAGAAATACAAAGTTATTCCAGACCACCTAGAGCGATATTTGCAAAAATGCATAGCTTTGTACAAGTAGCAAAACACAGTCGCTGGCGCGCCGTTTGTCGCGACCTCTACAGAGTACTCTGCACAGTCCGCAGTGTCTCGACAGGTCTTGTCACATGTGAGCCAACTCAACCCTGAGCCAACTCCCTGAATATTCTCGGCACCGGCTGAGTCACCACAACCGCCACTCCACTATCAAATGCAAATATCCCTGGATGTCTGAAAGAATGTGACTTTGTGATGCGGAATTCTACATCATGACAAAATCTGTCATGCGTGGCTAGCAAACGGCCCCGTTTTTTGTTTCCGCGAGACGAGGGGATTTGCAATGCGGATTAGGCATTTTTGGGATACCTGCTCAACAATATGAATATCTGTGATGCTACTAATAAAGCTTGCATGTACAGATCGGATCTCATCTGTGTCAGGCAAAAACTACATGACAGATCTCGCATTCTTCCAGACATCCAGGGTGGATATTTGCAGTTGATATCCACATTGCGGCGCAGATCGGGTCCGGGATAGTCCCCGCGTATCAAATGCAAATATGTATGGGTCTGGAAAGTTGTAATGCTAAAGTTTGGATAAGACTGACTGGCGCTCTCAAGTGCAACCACGCATGACAAGTACTTACTTGATGCTGTCTGATGCGTAGCACGTATGACAAACTGCACACACGAAAAAGTAAGGAGTCCCTTTCATCTTGCTGGCTGTGTAATACAGATTTGATGTTCAAAGGAATGCAAGACATACCACACAAGTTCCACTTTTCCAGACCCCGACATTTTTGCAATGCATAGTGGGGCTATCGACGCGAAAAAGGTTGTAGGTGTACTTCTAACTTTCTGTAATCAGGGAACAGCATTACAAATCTGTCTGTCATGCGCAGATAGTACGCGAAGAAACGGCGCTTCAATGGGCGGCCCTACAATGCATCAAAAGCATGACAGACGCAAGAACTACCCTCTTGCATCATGATTGACGAGCATGATGATCCCAAAGTCACACTAACAATGTTTTTTCCTTGGATACTAGGACTTGCCAACGCTTCATTGTTGGTCACCCACGGTCTATCCCACGCAAAAAGTGTTTCACAGAAACGATTTTGGTTGTCAAGGTTATTTGCATCAAGAGTTTGTTCAGCATGACAAAGAAAATATGCCAGAAATTATGCAGCTTTCTCAGCGAAAATGGCATGGGTAAAAATCACGCCACCTCTTGCATTTCCATTTGCGCAAGAACAAACTTTTACACTTGTGTGTTGCACCATTCTCTCCTGCAGCGTCACAAGTTTTTAATACAGTGAAACAGTTTTTTCTTGCGATACGGCTTATCCCACGAAAAAACTGTTTCACTGTGACGATTTTGCAAGATCTGCATCACAAGTTTGTTACGCATGACAAATATAACTTGGCATGCGTGCCTCTAAGGGAAAACACAGCTAAAAATCCAATGTCTTGCATGTGTAGCAAGAGAAACACATTTGCGTTCCGTTCTATGCATTACAAGTTCACAGTGAAACAGCTTTTTCTTGCGATACGGTTGAATGGTGGTGGTGGCGGTGTTCGAGTTCACGCATGTGCAGGTATCTGCCCGTATCCTGAGTAAAAACGTACCCACCCCAGAGTTGTAATGCAGATTTGCAATGACAAAGACATTTGTGATGCGCATCCCCATGAGAGCCATTTCCAATCGTGTTTTGGAATTTGTGATGCTGTGAACAGGATCAGCAGGTCGATTTGTGACGCGGCTTTCCTTGCTAACTTGCACTACCTTACGGACTGAAACTTGTCATGCGTGACTCCCAAAACTCCTAGGTTTGTGTTGCAAAATCCCCATCTTGACTCTGGTGTGGGTACGTTTTTACTCAGGATAGCCCGCTTCTTCTTTCCCTCGGTCTTTATTTTACTGCTCGTCAGCACTTTCAGTGCGTCCACTGTGATGAATAAGGAGCTTGTTATGTTCTTTGTGTAGTGGCTGTGCAGAAGTTGTAGTAGAAAACCTCCAAGAAGGGTGGTGGACAAGGATGTGGCCTTCTTCATTTTGCGCCGCCGAGGCCCAACGACGAGAGCACAACGACGAATAACGGATTGGATGACGAATAGACACGACGATCTGTTACAACATCTTGATACTACTTCGTCACGTTCTTGCTGCACAACCCATTTTCACGGCATCAACTTGTAGCGTTTGTACTTCTGTTTTAAGATGAAAACCATGACGATTAATTCCAGAATCACAGTCTTCGTTCACACAACAAGATGAACGCTCGGAGTAGAAACAATAATATCTTCGCTCTACTACAGAAGTCGTCCCTCCAAAAATTTTCCCGACACTGACTTCATCATCTTCATCTGCGCTCAATGATATGATTTGTGTTGCACTGTGACCACACCTGCTTTGGGTACTTAGTTGCACAAAAGTGCTGAATATCATCAACACCCTCTTCACTCGCTCGCAACTGGAACTGCTCCTACTTCCGACTGGTTTTGTTATCCTCGCCTTGTGGTTGATGTGCACACCACGAGCCTGTTGCAGTGAGGCTGAGGAGTAGAGATTCTGGAGAACAATAATTTTTCCCACGTTGCACTCAGTGATGTTCTCTTTTTTGTGGTGCTGCTCGGGGATTGGTACTTGCTGTCCATCTCTGTTATCCTTAGTCAACGATTGTACAGAAACTACATCTTCACGACCTTGTCGCATCCGTAAAGATGTAAAAAGCTAATGCTGGTCCTTTTTGTTTTTCACATCATTCCCTTTCATATTCTAAAAGCTCCACCAAACCAAATCTTGAATTTGTTTTGGCCAAAAATTGAAATTCTTGATTGTTGTCATCTCAAAAAAATCATACATCGTCCGTAGCACCTGCTTGGTCCTGCGCAACATCTTCCTTTCTTCTCCTATCCTACTCGCAAATCTGATACGAGTACCAGATGTACTGATCTTGCATCTTCGATTTCGTCACATCGCTCAGCCCAGTGCAGCCCGGCCCGTCGGGCGCTCCCCCCGCGTTGGAGTATCGAAAGGAAAAATCCCCTCTCCCCATATCGAAAACGAAACTTGTGATGCTGTATTTGAGGTCACAAATCAGATTTGTCTTGCTGGCGAGGACTGCAGGCCCATATCAGGCCTGAGTAGACAAGTTTTGGCCTAGGCGCTTAGCATGGCAAAAGTCTACGCAGTAGGAGCAACAGCATGACAAACCGCCTGTAGAATGTGGCGGAGCCTGTAGACTTGCCTTCATGCAATACAGCGACGATTTGTGGTCTCAAATCTGCATCACAAATTTTCAGAAGTGTCCCGGTTTGGTATGGGGAGGGGGGATTTTTCCTCACAATATGGAGTCGAGCGAATTCACCGTATGGCAGTCTCAAACGTTACATTGATCGCTATTATCCTATGTAAAAACGTCCCCACACCAGAGTGAACTACATGGGGAATGTGCTAGACAAATCAGCCAGCTTTGGTTGTTTCGCATGACAAAGTTGGCTTCGTATTGTGATCCTATTTAGGTAGTTCAGCAGCATCACAGATCTACCACATCATGCTGATTATAGCATCACAAATTCCAAAACACGACTAGAAAATGCTTCTTATGGGGCTCCGCATGATATATTTTTTTGGCATGTAGATTGGCATGACAACTATGGTGTGGGGACGTTTTTACTCAGGATAGCTATCACTGCATGATCATTCTCGTTCTGCGACGCATGATTAGCAAAAGATAGAGGGGAACTTGATGACTGTTGCACGTCTTGCATTACAGATTTGGTACGAATTTCCATACTATTTTAGCTCTTTGAAAATCTGTCAACATCCGAACTAGTTATTGATCATGTGAAAGTGAATCAATGGTGGCAGCAGTTCTGCATCACAAATCATGCAACAGCGATAAATGCAACGTCGTTTGAGAGTCCCATACACCGCGACTTTTCCGTTCGCCGTTTGGACGGCCGGCGATGTCTATGCATTGCAAATGTGTGTGGGTCTGCAAGCTTGTGATGCATGGGAGTGAATAGAAAGCACACTGTAATGCACATCAGCCCAGCATGATGACAGATTTTTCCGTGGCTCCCCTCCGTGTTGCGTATTCCGCATGACAAAGACCGTAGTTTTTGCATGAGAGACGAGAGGAGCTCTTGCTGACCACGCAATACACAGCTCATGCTCAGTGTCATGCCAGACTAGCCTGACAAAGCTCGCATCCATTCTTCCATGCCCAGATCGATTATATTTGCAATGCATATTACCGTATCGTCGTCGATTTTCACATAGCACCATGGTTTTGAGCACCACTTGGGCCGGTCGTCCATTGCCGTTTATGCATTGCAAGTGTCCCCGATCTGGCTCTGGAAAGAACTTGTGATGGTGGTTGGCGAATCAAGAGAACGCCAAGAATGACGATCCCGCATGACAGGTTTTTGAGTTCATCTTCAAGGTGTTGTCTATAATTCTGGATGAGAAGCGGGGTTTTTGCATGGCAGAAAAATGTGGCGCGACGTTTGGGTACCTTGCATGACAGACTTGACAGTCATGCTAGCAGAGCATGCCAAACCTGGGATTTATTCTCCAGACCCAGACAGATCTGCAGTGCATACCGTTGCATTGGCGACCATACACGGTGAGTACACGCCGAAGGCCCCCTTCGCGGTTGTCGCTATCACAGGAAAAAAACATTGCAGGTGTATACGTTTTTTGAAGGACAGCATTACAAATCTGTCTGGCATGACAGCAAAGACCTGTCATGCGCAGATAGTACGTGAAAACGCACTTTAATGGACCCTACAATACATGCCAAGCATGACAGACGCCATCCGCTTGCATGTTGCGCATCACAAATTTACACTAACAACGTTTTTTCTTGGATAGTCGCCCCTTTCACTTCAGTTTCCGTGTCCTCCCACGCCGCGCAGAACTCATATCCAATGCAAATAAATGTTTGGGTCCTCTCGAAGTAGATTGTGATGCTGGTCTCGCATACTGCTGAACTCTGTCATGCATATTGCGCAACTAAATCAGGAGAACCGCCTCGCTGTCATGCACAAACGCGATTTCGGCTTCCCATGCGGGTTTAGGCATAATGATTTTTCCCCGACTATTTCAAAACTTCTCATGCGTGGCAGCATAGAATTCAGTCGCAGTTGGATTGTTTTTATTTCATGTTTTATTTTAGTATGACATTAACATTCCAGACCCAAACATCTTTGCACTGCATAACTCACCGTAGTCGGCCACGCCGCCGTACTTCCTTTTGTACACCTTCCCGCATTATGAATTGCAAACATGTTTGGGTCTGGATCTGTAATGCATGAATTTATATACGATTGGAAAGTTTTTTTCTTCGTGCTGAACGGCAGTTTGTCATGCGTTATTTGACGAATGAATCAGCAACAAGAACCCTTGCCATGCTTCTGATGCTGTAGTTATGCACTACATACAGCTGCTAGTCTGTAAAAGTGCAAGTGTCAGCAATACAAGTTTCTTATAGCAGTGCACAACTCCCCCTCCCCCTCAAAGTAATAGTTTTGCAATATTTATTTGGTTACCAAATAGTGCGTTTTTATGTCACCAAATAATGCGTCTTTATGTCATCAATTTGCGCACATTTCGATTCCAAATGCGCAACGTTTGTGCTGCTTTTTGTGCGACCAAAAGCGTCGCAAAGGTTTGCAGTCTCTTGTCATGTTGTGAAAGCTAAGCACGACGCCATAGGCTCACTCCCCCTCACCAAAGCTGCCCACTCCCCCTCATGAGGGGGAGTGAGCCCATAGCATCGTGATTAGCCATCAAAATGTAATATTTTTTGGCGCTTTTTTGCGGCCCGCACACTTCGAGCTCAAAAATTCGCTGATTTGGAGCACAAAAAGTGGATGATTTGATTGAAAAGGTGAGCACTTTTTTAATTTTTTTCTAGGAGCTAGACTGCATGCTATGGGGACGATTTTCCGGGCCCGAAGCGCTGCAAGTTTCGCTAATCGCGATGCTATGGGCCCACTCCCCCTCACCAAAGGTGTCCATTTTCCCTCATGAGGGGGAGTGAGCCCATAGCATCGCGATTAGCCTTCAAAATGTAATATTTTTCTCGCTCATTTGCGAGGTCGCTAAAAAGTCGTTGATTTGACGACGCAAAACCTCATGATTTGGCGAGCATTTGCCAGAAGTTTGGCAACTTATCAAGTTACACGCAGAAGAACGCCCGCCCTTCTCTTTTGGTTGCTGCCGTTTCCTTGTTCATTCGTGACGCAGTCATCTGGCCCCGATTTCTGCGCCAGATGTGCGGAGATCACAGGCCTCGACTCGACCGATCAAAGGCACGAAGACGCTCCGGAAGCGCGCGCTTTTGCGACGCGTTTGCTGCCACAAAATGCAACATAATCGCTGCGAGCTTGGAGTCGAAATGGGCGCGATTTGATGACACGAAGGCGCATCATTTGGCGACATAAAAACGCATTATTTGGTGACCAAAAAAAAATTGATATATTACGAAATAGTAATATTTTGAGGGGGAGGGGGAGTTGTGCACTGTTATATTTCTCGACCCAGACACATTTGCATTTGGTACGTATTCGGTGTCGTCCTGTTGCGGCGTCAGCCACTGCTGGTTCGCCAACCCGAGCTCGGTCTTGGTGGCGCCGTTTTGGTTCACGCACTTGCACTGGTTGAGCGTGTCTGCTTTTTTTGTTTTTGTTTTCCCCGTCAGCACCTTCACCGCGTACGAGTTCTCGGTGCCCGCTTGGAGGAGCGAGAAAAACTTCAGCGTGCTGGAGCAATACGAGAAACGCCTCATTTTCATCATCCACGTATCATCAAATTCAAAACATAATGCACTAGCAAAACTATTCTCTAATGGTAGACAGGAAGTAGTACAGGCGGAAAAAATGCAAGAAATTCGCTCCCGATACGCTTGTTTTGTCGCAGAGGTCTGGCTCAGGCACTTCTTCTTGAAGTGCTTCACATACACGTGTTTAACTCCCCGCCCTCCTTCGCTCGTGTGCTTTCGGTGTGTGCTTGCTATGCTTCTCGCTCGCCAGGGCGGCAGCACCTGCTTTACAGAAAGAACACCAAGAAGTGGGCCAAGGGCAGTGTAGGTGTGAGTGAAGAAGAACACCTGGCGAACCAATGATGCCGCCAGCTGTCGATGCGAAAGCTACTACTTACCATCGTACTTACAAGTGACCGCAGCTGCGCCGGTGGGCCATGGCGCGCTGGCCGCCCGTTTACTGCGGACGAAGGAACACCACCTTGTCCCCCCGTGCGGCACGCTCACGCACTTTGAACGGGCCCGGGCGATTGAATACCAACACGACCGCCCTTCGCGGCGGGCGCGGCACGGACGCCAGAAAATTTCTTTGGGGCCCGGCCGGGCCCCACCAGGCCAAGCAACGAACAATGGCCGGCCGCAATCTTTCTAAGCGACGGGCCACGCCAGGCCGGGCGGGTTCGAAAGATAGGGCGGGGGCCGGCCGGCCCAGACGGGCGCCGCGGTGAACACTTCCAGGAGGGAAGCGCGAGCGGGCGCAGGGAGGCGGGTCGAAAGACGAGCCGGCGAGCCTCTGCCAAGGTAGACTGATAGACCCAGAGTGAGATAGATGGGCGCGGCAGCTCTCTCTGCAAGCTGGAGCAGAGTCGGCGGCTGCGCAACCCATATGCTTGCTGTAGCGAACGGCGCTCCCTGGATTGATCCTCGAAGACTCTTCTGGTTCTGTTCCTTCGGTTGCGTCGCTGCTACACTCTTCGGTCGATCATCGATCGACGGCGGGCGCGGAGGCCCGCGCGGTTCCGCAAAGGGGCCCGAGCGCGCCCCGAGGGCCAGGTGCGCGCGGGCGCTGCGCCAACAACAGGCGCGCAGGCAGGGGCGGCCGGGCCGGCGGTGAAGGCCAAGGCGGGCTCAACCCTCCATCGTATGCTTTCGCCCGGGCAAACGCGCAAAGTTGCGCCGGGGGCCCTTCTAGTCTCCACCTGCCTCCCAACCCGGCGCCTGCCGTGGCTGCCTCCCGTGCGCGCCTCCCCAGAGCGGATTCCCTGAGGGCAACGCGGGCGCGGCTTCTCGAAATGCCCCGCCCGCTAGCTTGCTGGAAGACCAACGCAGGCAATGGGCCTCCTTTCCATGCTTTTTCACTCTGCGAATTTCCTCGGGCAAGATTTTTTCCGGCTCGTATTTCTCGACCCAGGATGCCCTGAAGGCGGCTGCGCACTATAACCACCACGCCCATACACATACACACGCAAAAGCCCCGGCAATGCCGTCGCCCCATTGATTTACCGCAGCGCGCTGTGCGCGCTGGTTTGCGGCGCTTCCACGAGAGCGGGCCACGGGCCTCGTCGCGGCGGGTTAGCGGCACACGGGCCGCGCCACGCTCGGGCGGGGCGGGCGCCCGCAGCGGCTGCCTTACTGCTAAACGCCCCCGCCTGCCGGCCCCCCACCACCGGCGTGATTTTTTGCGCTGTTCTCTGCTGCTCTAGTCGTGGGCCAGTAGTTTCAGACATCTGCATGCTCTTTCACCGGTCTGCTGAACATCGATCTTCTAGCGGAACACCAAAAAAAATGCTGCAACCGCATTATATACGTGTTTTTTTTTGTTGGAGCCCCAAACTGAGCTTCTTGTGATCATGAGCCGCATGCAGCAGCATCTTTCTCTTGTTCTTCTTGTTCTCGGTGCAATATAATACTCTTGTCTTTCCTTCATTTTTCATTTCCCAGAGCGGCCTTCATCTTTCTCAGTACGATGGTATCAAAGGTAAACTTGAACTCTACCTCTTCCCAGGGAAGGAGTGGCTGGAAGTAAGTACGTACGACGAGAGTGAGCTATCAACAATCAGTATCATGTTACTTGTTGTGTAAGTAGAGATGTCAATAAAAGCAACGTGTGGATCGCTTTCATACTCACCTCACTACTAGCACCACCACCACCACCACACAACCTCAATACATTCCTCCCAAATCCACTTCCCCGCGCCTATCCACCGCTCGCACCGTATCGTGTTTCGCCTGTTTCCGCTTCTTCACAATTTTTTCCGCCGCTTGCAAATGCTCCGTGCTGCCGTACTTCACTTATGGATTGCAAAAATGTCTGGGTCTGGAAGGATGCGAACTTGTGATGCGCATTTCACAACACAGACAAATCTCTCATGCATAGGCAGCAAAAGGTGCCCATTTCCTGTCACCAAAATGGGGGATTTGTCATGCGGATTAAGCAATGCGGAAACTTCTCGAAATCTGTGATGCTAGGGCTTCCATGGCAGACATTTTGTGTCATGCAAAAACAGCATGACAAAAATCTGCACTCTTCCAGACCCAGACACTTTTATATTCGATATCACTTTCTCCTGCGCCATTTGCTCCAACAGGGTTTTCTCGTCCTTGTTCTTACTGAACAAACACCCAGACGTATCACAGGAAAAAACTGTTTCACATTCACTGAGATGGTTTTGCAAGATCCGCATCACAAGTTTGCTACGTATGACACAGAAAACTTGCCATGCGCGCTTCCCAACGGAAACCACGCTTAAAAATCCAATGCGTCGGAGGTGTAGCAAGACAAATAGTTCTGTGTTCCATTTCATGCATCGCAAGTTCACAATGAAACAGTTTTTTCTTGCGATAACACGCCAACCAGTCGAGCAATTGTGCGAACCCGTAGAAATAAATCACCAGCGCAAATCCCCCTAAAACCACCCCTATGCATTGCAAAAGCATCGTACTAGTACTAGTCGTAATTCATTGCATTACATACAAATTACCCCAGCATGACAAATGAAATTTGTAGTGCTGTTATACCTTAGTAAGGAGATTTGTCATGCATAACAGCGATTACCACGAGTAGTGCGATACTTTTGCACTGGATAAGCCCGAGGACCGCGAGCAGTCGGATGATTTTTTCGTCCCGGGAGAGCTTGTCGTTGTAGAAAGAAGCGTATGCTGTGCAAAAGTTTATCGTCCCCGTACCAATCGCAGTCGTGCATCACAGATCCTACTTTTTTTCCTGATTCTGCATTACAAATTTCAATTTTCTTCTTGAAGAAACTAAAATCATGATTTGTTATGCGATTTATACGTAGTACGATACTTTTGCAAAAATGCATAAAGCGGGAACGAGTTGCGTCATGATGGTTTGTTCCTTGTCCTCTTCAGCAGTAGTGGCCGCGGCGGCTGCAGGGGCCGGAGAAGTTTCGTTTGTTTCATTTTGTATTTGTAGTTTTTCTGACCTGTCCATGAGAGACCACGACGTCGGCTCCTCTCTATTTGTTTTAACACCTGCGCCTGTTGATGTCCTCGAATATTTATCTTCACGACCGCCGTTGTGACTGTTCCTTCTCTGTGAAGATGAACTTTGACTTCCTATTTGTTCAACCGCGGAGGCCGAGGAGATGCTAGCTGCGTGAACTTCTGCACGAACTGGTGGGGCTGGCGTTTTTTCTCTAGGTGGTAGTTCGGAACCTTCTCGTCCACTTCGTTGCCTGTCCTTCACGACCCGTTCGACCACTTCTCGCGGCCCCACCTCCCTTCGCATGGTAAATGAAACCTCCGGCTGCGGCTGCTCGACTTCGTTTGTCGGTCTTCGCTCCTCGTCCTTCTGCTGTGTTTTTCTTCGCTCGTCCTTCTCGTGCTGTAGCATCTGTTGCTGTTCGTCTTGTTGTATCACGACCGTCGTTTTTTGTTCCATTTGGTGTCCCGCGCCCGCTACGGCCACTGTGGAAATGATCGTCGACGGAAATAGATCCAGCGGCATGAGGAAAATTCTTGCAAGACGCAATCGCTGCCAGGGAAGATGATCGCGGGCTGCTTCGGGAATAGTAGAGCGAAGAGCTGTCATCACGGTGGCCGAAGTGGTCCTCGAAGTCAAAAATTGAAGGGGTGGAAGAGGACGACCTAGCTCTGCTGGAGGCAGTGGTCGAGGACATCATGTGCCATGCGGAATGAAGATCTACTTCGTGGCCCGAGCTAGTGCTGGGTGTATCTGAATGCAGCAACATGATTAATGCACCCAAGTAGAACAACACCGATAGAAGAAAATCATAGAACAAGTGGTAGTTTTTTCACTCACTCGGTGAATAATCTCATGGATGCAACTGAATCCTTGCACGCAGAATCATGGTGCATCAACATGCAGTTTGTCATTGTTTTTGCAAAACCAGTTATCTCACTAGCGGTTCTTCGCTCTCTCGTTGGATGTCGAAAGATATGCTACTGCGTGCTCGCGATGAACCAACTACTTTTTACACCATGAGATAGAAGGCTGAGAGCAAAAACTGCTCGTCCTTTTCTTCACAACAATTCGATTTATTTTTTTGGCTGTGAGCTTTGACAGTTTTTGAAATTTTTTGAGAAGTCTTTGACATTCAAACACCTCGGAGGTTTTTGACGAAAAGGGGCAACTCACTCGATCCAGAGAGTAAGTAACGTAAGTAATGTGATCTACATCGGGGTATTTTTTTTGTTAAACAAGCTACTTCAGTACAAACATGAACGCAAAAAATACAACGGGCACGAGACAGTAATTGAAAAAAAGTTGCAAAAATCAAATCGATGTGAACGTCGTAAACTGAATCTTTCTCTTCTTCCTCGTTTCTTCGAAATCTACCAGGGTATACAACCATGATATTCTGCTGGAGCTTCCATCGTTCTTCGCTAAGCCTTGGACATTAATTGTTTAAGCTTAGCTTTACACGCATCATGACAATCTGAAACCCGAAGGATCAACATGCGGCATTCAATGTCTTCAAAAAAAAAAACACTAACTTCGAAAAATTTGCAGAGCGAAAACCTGCGTGATTGCAGATACAGATCGATTTTCTTGTGATGCATCACCATACCACCCACTAGTACGCCCATGTACTGACTCCCCTCCTTTGCTTACAGCTCGTCATTCGCATCGTGCCCAGCGTTGTGGCCCTTGTAGTGGTCGGCATGGTAGTGGTCCTTGGGAAACTGCTATGCAAGAGAAAGAACTTCGTATGAGAAATTATATTTACAGAAGTAGTCGTGCCCAGAATCCAGCTCAGAACTTGTCAACACGCACAGACCAGCTCAGAACTTGTCAACATCATGCAGAGGCCACCTAGAATCTTGACAAGCCCAAGCTCTCCCAAAAATAAAATGCTCTTCACGCAGCTACTCCTGTGTGGTCTCATCAAAAACGAAGATTCTCTCCATCGCCATACTCGCGGGTAGACCCAAATTCCCGGGTAGTTGCGGCGGCTGATTGCGGTACGGATGTCGATCAGGTCCACATGTGCCACGTATCCTGATTAAAAACGTCCCTACACCAGAGGCTCACTGGGAAATTTGCTAGACAAATCAACCAGCCTTGGCTGTTTGGCATGACAAGCTTGTTCTCGTAGTGTAATCCTGTTGAGCTAGTTCAGAAGCATGACAGATCTAGCGCAGCATGCTGATTCTTGCATCACAAATTCCAAAACACGAATAGAGAATGCTTCTCATAGGGCTCCGCATGAGAAACTTTTTTGGCATGCAGAATTGCATGACAACTATGGGGAGGTGGGGACGTTTTTACACGGGATACCACGTGCCCCTCCATCAGCTGCGGGTCCTCGTAAACCGCCTTGCGCAGGCGCTGCCTGTATCCACTACAAAAATTTCTGGGTCTGGAACATGGCAGGACTTGTCATGCAGATTTTCCATGGCCCATGAGGTCTGGAATGCAAGAACAAGCATGACAGACCCTGCGAAATGTCTATCACGCCTATCCTGGATGAGAAACTCGGCTCCAACTTGGTCAAAAGTGGACAACTTTTGGCAATCATGCAACACAGATTTTTCTACGATGCAGACTTAGCATGACAACTTGCTGTGTTCCAGACCCAGACATGTTTGCAATGCATAGCTTGACCTTCTTCGCGATCTTGCGCAGTCGTTTGTTGTTCTGCCCCTCCCGGTTTTTCTTCCACTTCCGCTTCCCGAGCAACTCCAGCTTCAGGTCCCGGTAGTGCGGGATATGCAGTGCAAATATTCCTGGATGTCTGGAAGGATGCGAACTTGTGATGCGCATTTCACAACACACACAAATCTCTCGTCATGCAGAGGCAGCAAAAGATGCCCGCTTCCTGTCACCAAAATGGGGGATTTGGCATGCGGATCAGGCATCAATGCGGAACCTTCTCGAAAAAATCTGTGATGCTACTAGGGCTTCCATGACAGACATTCTGTGTCATGCAGAAACAGCATGACAAAAATCTGCACTCTTCCAGACCCGGGCATGTTTGCATTTGATACGGCATTTTGGAAAGCAAATCCATCCCGATGATCTCCTCCAAGTCATCCTCATACGCAGGCTATCGACATTGCAAAAGCGCATCATAGGTAAACAACTAGTACGTAGTAATCGCATTACAAATTTTCTCTGCGTGACGAGATATGGAATTTGTCATGCGGCTTTACCAAGAACTACAGGTTGTTCTACGACGCAGCAGCTTTTACATGGGATACAAACGCGCGCCGCTCGATCTGCTTGAATTCTTCCATCGTCTGTTTGATCTCGTCCGTTGACAGATACCCGTCCTTCGGATTGTAGTCGTGAAACTCAAAAGCGTTGATCGCCATGGTGTACTGGTTTTTTCCAAACGCGACGAGATTCTTCTTGTGGTGGGTCACCGTTTTCTTGCGCTTGTGCACCTTCTTCGCGTCCACTTCGAACGAAGTTTCCTCATCTTCTGTGCCATCGGTGATTTCCATCTCATCCGTTGCTTGACTCGTGTTGGTCCCGTACAGAACCGCGTCTTTCAGGGTCTGCATGTCGATTTTCCAGGTTTCGTTTTTCCCGGTTTTTTCGTTGCGTTTTTTCACCAGCTTGTCCTGTTGGTCCATCCAATGAAAAAACTCCGTCCGCGCGTTGAACATCATCGCCCAGTGCTGTATGCATTGCAAAAGTATCGTACTAATTGCCATTGCGTTTTATGCATTACAAATCTAACTGTGAAGGTAAATCAGCATGACAAATTCCATTTTTCATGCTGACCGAATTTGTAATGCGATTTTTACTAGTACGGTAATTCTAATTGTGCAGTGCATATGCTGCAGCCGATGCCATGAGTCCGTCACATCCATCGTCATGCGGATCCGGGCCCAGTGCCTGCGGAAGTGCCCCGTGGCCGGCGGCGGTTCCATCTGGTAGGTGAGTGACGCGGCGCACGGGGCGGTGATGTTCACGGCAAATTCGTCGCCGCGCTCTTTCGCCAGTTGGTGCTCGTCGGTCAGCACGTTTTTCGTTTCGTGCACGATCCCCGGGGCGAAGAAAGCCGCGTCGAACTGGTTGAGCTTGATCGTCCGCCACTTCGAATTCTTCTTCTCTTCCTCCGACAGTTGCGAGGTGTGGGTTGTGCAGACCGTGGGATTGTTTTCGTAGCAAGCCCCGTCCTCGTACGCGTACAGGTAGGAAACTCCGCCGTTTCCGAACTTCTTGTCCACGGTCGGGTCCCCGATCCGCTCGTCGATTTCCTGGAACCGCCAGATTTTGGACCCGGAAAGCTGGATGGAGATGGTGGACTGCTTGTGCCCATCCAAATGTGCTTTCGCCCCGGAATCTTTCACGGAGGCGAACCAGAATTCGGGACTGGTAGACAGGTTTCGCCATGCAAAGAAAAAAGCTATGTGAGTGTAAATCTGTGATGCAAAACACAGAACACAGTTACAGCTGTCATGCTGGCCAGCCATCAGCTCCTGTTTTCGTATGTGTTTTCACATACATGCTGCGCATTACAGGTTTTCTCTGTCATGTAGAGCAAATTTGTCATGCAGCTGTCACTCCAAGACAGCTGCACTCACACAGTTTTTTTCTTGGATATCCGCCGCTTGTCCTTCACTTTCCGCTGCATGAAGCCGGGTAACTTCGACGCTTTCGGTAGTAAAGACTCCACCCAAATTTTTCGTTCCGGGTGCTGGTGCATGTCCTCCTTGATGCCCCAGTAGTGCGGATTTTTCGTCGGGGCGTCCGAGCCCTGCTTCTGCCGGGTTCGCAGCTCGGCGTTGGCGTGCTCGTGCATGCCGAGTTCTTCCCGCAATTCTAGCTTGTAGTTCGCCTCGCCGTGATGGTGAAAATCGTGTTTCTTGTTGCCGCTCGCTACGTGCTTTGGAGTATCCACAGTGCAAAAGTTCTTCTTTGCGATACTAGCGACGTATTTTATTTGTACGACTGCGCAAGACAAAGATCTTTTCACATATTCCTACCCGCCCTAAAATACAAAATTTTGTTTAAAAATTCACCGAATGCAGACTAAAAGAGCAGCACCCTTTGCACTTCTTTCCCTAATCGTGCTCCTCACGCAATTTTTTTTCGTGCTCGCGTTTCTTCCAGCTGTACCGGCCGGGGTAGTAATTCTCATGGTCCTCTGGCATAAGCCACTCGTTGAGACTATCCATTGCAAAAGCTATGCTGTGACGCGTTGCATGTAGTAGTTGTAGATCTAGATCTACGAATGCGAAATAAAGCGCATGACAAATGATTTCGAGCTCAAGGTGCTGCTACACTTGCTGATAAAAATTACAACACTAGCTACGGTTTGTAACTAAAAATGCTGAGTTAGGCTATGAAAAGAGTCTTTGTCTTGCGATTCCTCCCAAGAAATGCTTCCAATGCAATATGTTACTCACAAAGAACTTTTGCAATGGATAGTCGCCCATGTTGTCAAACGGATCCAATTCGTGCAACGCGTGAAACGTGTCCTGCGATCCCTTATGAATTGCAAAAATGTCTGGGCCTGGAAGATTACCAGGTTTGTCATGCATTTTGTGAATGACCCATGATGTCTGTGATGCATGCCCTAGCATCACAGATATTTAGAGGACTTTGTGATGCCTCTTCCGCATGACAAACGCCCTCTCCGACTACTAGCACAAACTGGAGTCCTCTTGCTGGACATGCAATACAAATTTTTTCAGAATCCAGATACAGCATTACAAGTTTAGAATCTTCCAGACCCAGACATATTTGCAATCCATATCCCTGCGTGTAGTGCTCCAGAATCTCGGGCATGTGGATCCCGCGACCGCCGCCCTTCCTGTATGCATTGCAAACGCATCGCAGCACTCGTATAAATGCATTACAAAATCAAAAACAAATTTCCTCAGCATAAGAAATAAAATTTGTGATGCTGATTTACACTAAGGAAAAAATTTGTAATGCATGCTTGCAATACGAGTATCAGATACTTTTGCACAGGATATCCGGTTTGCCTCGACGATGTCGCCCAAAACATGGGGCAGCTCGTTTTTGAACGCGGCGCAGGTATTATGACAGTGCACAACTCCTCCTCCCCCTCCTTTGTCATGCAAAATCCGTAATCCATTTACTGCCTTGTGGCGCCGTGTGCATGACAAGTTTCGAAAGCCCAAACACTACTGCTGTAGGTACATAAATCTGTCATGCACAGGCTCTAGGGTCGCTGGCGTTTGTATTGCTGTTCATGCAACACAAATGAGGAGAAGGGGAGTTGTGCACTTTCATACGTATTCCAGTGGTATTTGATCTCCGGAAAGGAGTGGGCGAACTTCCGAACCGCGAAATAGTGCCCGTTCTTGATCAAATTTTCGAACACATCGGCGGTTAACTCGTTGGGGAGGATTTTGTCCGCGTCCTTCTTGTCCAACATGTATGAATTGCAAAAGCATCGCACTCGTAGGAATCGCAATCGTGCATGACAACTCTAAACCTAAACGGAAATCCGCATTAGAAATTCTATTTCTCATGCAGAGGGAATTTGTCGTGCGATTTCCACTAGTACGATTTACTTTTGCAGAGCATACCATGTCCTCCGTGACGATGTCAAAGTCCAAAACGACGCCCGGCTTCGGGAAGCTGTAGATAAACTCCTGGCTGGTCAGATATCAAATACAGACATGTCTGGGAGGTCTGGAGTCTGTCATGCATCTCCTGGACTACATAAAAAAAAATGGTCTGGAATGCGGAGCAAAGCATTACAAGTTCTGCGCGACATGCTTTCCAATGCCGTTCCCGCATGAGAGATTCGCACTTTATTTCGTCGCAAGAAATTTAAGAAACTACTGGTGCTCTGATGCAACACAAACCTTTGTGCCCTCCAGAACTAGCATCACAAATCCGCATTTCCTTCCCGACCCAGACATAATATTTGCAATGCATATCAGATTCAAGTAGCTGAATTCCGGCTTCAAAACCCAGCGGAAAATCTCCGGCTATCCTGAGGAAAAACGTCCCCACACCAGAGTCAAGATGGGAATGCTGCTAGACGAATCAAACAGCTTTGGTTGTTTCGCATGACAAGTTGGTCCTCGCAGTGAAGTGTAGTTCTACTTCAGCAGGATGACAGATCTAGCATATCATGCTATTTCTAACATCACAAATCCCAAAAGACGACTAGAAAAAGCTTCTCATGGGGCTTCGCATGAGAAAATTTTTTGGCATGCAGATTTGCATGACAACTCTGAATGGGGACGTTTTTACTCGGAATACCGGCTCCGGGTTTTTCTCATCCCACTCGTGCTCTTCTTCTTTCGGCAATTTTCGTGCCAGTGACCCCTTCCGGCTGGTCCGATCGGCTTCTTCATTTTCCTTGTGGCGTTCTCAAGCGCTACACTCTCAACTGTTACACGATTTGTCATGCAAAACCAACATCAACATCCACACGGTGCAGCGACTTCGCATGACAAATTTCCGAAGGGCTAAACAGCATTGAAATCTGTGCGGAATTTGTAATGCTAGAGGTGCAATCCTCCCGCTCCCCCTTTGACTTTCGGTTTCGCTATGCTTGCATTACAAATTCATGTAACAGTTGAGAATGTAACAATTGAGAGTCCCATACTCCTCCGAGCTGGGGTCTGTTTCCTTGCCGACCATAGCCTTCCCCTGCCGCTTGGACGAGTACATTTTGCGCTCGGTGGGTTGTTTTTTGATGTCCTCTTCCTCCTCATCTTCCAACTCCCTAACCATTTTCGCTTTGTCAGGGCTTAATCCGACCTTGTCCAAGTCTAGTTTTTTCTTATCCGTGGTCGTAATGGGCGGTGTGGTCACCGCGGCGTTTACCACAGTCGTGACATAATTGCTGTGCTGTAAGAAAACCACCCCGGGGCAGGAAGCAAGGAAACTCGAACGGAGGAGCTTCATCGGGTTATTTTTTGACGACCGAGTTCTAGCGGTGAAATTATACGCTTTTGGACGACGACAGGGCGAGGCCATAGGTGAGTTTCTTTCTTGCTGTTCTGCGACTCTGTGCTGCTTGTGTTGTAAAAACGAAGATAGAAGAGATAGTAACCGACAAACGTTGTGAAGACAGAGCTATTGCCAACTATTTGCTCCGACTTGCTTCTAAAACGGGTTGCAGTCAAAACGCGTAGTCTTTTAGTGCAACAACACGAAAGATATCATATATAGAAAGAACCCCCGCAACAGGTACAGAGCCTGAAATTCGGAAGGAAACGACACGTACGCAAGGCAACGAGTTAGAAGGAGAAAAGTAAGTCATTATACTGGCAGAACCAACAAAATCCGTTGAACGCGGAACAACAGCAACAAGCTCCCTTGTCTTGGAAGCTCGGAGGAACACCTCAGACGCTCCATAATTTCAGCATCGCAGCCATCCGCCCAGCTGCCACAGCACAAGCGACGCTCGGCTGATGCGAGTGTGCGCAATTAGCTCCAGATGATTTGCGCAGAAGGTTTTACTTTTAAGTAGTATTCTGGGAATAAATAATCGTGTACGGGACGGGAAATCTTGTTCTTCGGGGTTTCGTGTTATTCATGCTGGGCTTTCAGCTTGATGCCTTGTTCTTCAGGAGGGGATTCTGATTTACATGTCCTCGATGATGGTCATAAGAAGGTGGAAACGATCATGGGGTAAACTTTTACTTTTGTTTGGTTTTTCGTGAAAAAACGCAACAGAAGTCGGGGATACCAGTAAGAGTCGTCGGGGATACCAGCACTGAAGCAGGAACTACTTCTTATTGTGTTCCACCTGATGGGTCGTCGTTCTGCTGGAGGGGGGGTCAGGGTCGGGGTCGGGTAAAATGAAAAAGTAAAAATGCCTTCGCAGTCGACGACCACTATCGTGTGAAACTAGGAAGAGAATATATATACTGGTATTGTTCTACAAGATCATGTCTGGCGAAATGAGAAGAACGAGAAATAAGAGTGCAAAAAATTTTGTTTGTTTGTCTGTTTGCTTAAAACTTTGTAATTCGCATTTTTCGATCTTTTTCGCAAGCAATTTTTTGTGTTTTAGTTTTTCTCTTATGCAGCATGCATTCGATGCTATTATGTCTTTTTCGTCCAGCTCGCTTGGCAAAAAATGGTGAAGCAAAAAAAATATATACGAACAGAATATCTCAACATGGTGACTGATTTAGAGTAAGTGGTACTCTGACAACTGTGACTTAGAACACATTTTGCGCTGAGTCGTGAGAATCAGAATCCATCAGGAGCATGAACACAAATGGCTGAGGCACCCGCATTTTCAAGAAACTTTTCGTAACTGCAGACTCCCTGACCTTCGGCGTCGGCCCTCCGGCAACACGAGTCGCACCACATGGCAATGCTATCTTGACATGAGGGGTTCGCGCAGTTTCCTTTCTGTGCCATGCAACGCCCCAGGAAGCCGCTTGCGCAACTCACACGGCACTGGTCGTTCTTGACCTTGACGACGGTTGCGTGCTCCGTGAAGCCGCTCGGGGAGGTTTCCCGACCGATCCAAGAATGCGTCGTCGCCGTCTGGCCTTTGTTCTTCGTTTTGATTCTGGACCCCGACACGCACCCCCAGGGGTTAGAAATAGCGACGACGACGATGGAGGCCTTCTTGACGAGCATCTTGCACCTTTTCCGGCAGTTGGTAATGATAAATATTTATATTTTCTAGTTTATTTATACGTATTTTTCTTTCCCCGAATGCAGAGTTGAAGCCAGTGGCTCTTCAATGCTCTACTTTGAGTTTCGTAGAAGGTTAAGTTATGAAGTGTGTGCTGGTTTAATTTTAAATTCTGCTACTTCGATCGTTCTGCAGTGTCTGGTTGCTATTTCGATTTTTCTCACGAGTCCTGCAACTATTGCGTGAAGTAGAAAGACCAAGCCATGATCAAATCCTATGACAACATGGAAATAGAGCTTGACGATCACGAGTTGCGCTTCCAATCCTATTTTTCGAGGAAGTCTTCTTGTACGAATATCGCCACCGTGAATCCATGATTTATCGGGATAGAGTTTTTTGCACGAGAAGAAAACGACTTTACGTGTGCTGCCCTGGTGTGCTTGTTTTCCCGGACGAGTTCTTTTCGCACGAAGCTTAGAGCGTACGTTGCAGTGAACGTAGACGCACACTTTTCTATTTGTTTTTGAAAATACGTCATATTCCTTCGTAGAATTATCCCTGAGGGGAATGAGTGGAAATGGAGCACTTGTGTCCTCCTCCTGCAAAGCATCCCGCTCGCGTCTGATCGGTGGAAAAATCTGATGAGATCTTTTTTTGCTCGAAATAGGTTCCAAGCAAATGGCCGGCGTGAATGAACAAAGCATCTCCACGCACGTCTTCTAGGTCTATCCTTTATGTCATATTACAAAGTACTGCAAAGAGCTCACCTCTATGTCCTACCTATGTTCATCTGGCTTGAGCCAAAATGGCTACTGTTACAGCGCGAATGACCCACCGTCGGTTACAACAAAATCTGTTGAACGCGGAACAACAGCAACAAGCTCCCTTGTCTTGCAAGAACGGAAGAACACCTCAGCCGCTCTATTTCAGCATCGTAGCCAGCGATCCGCCGAAACTGTCACAGCACAAGCGACGCTCTGTTGATGCGGGTGTGCGCAAGTAGCTCTAGTTGAATTGCGCAGAAGGTTAAGGTTTTTAATATTTTGGAAATAAGTCGTGTACGGGATGGGAAATCTTGTTCGGGGTTTCGTGTTATGAATGCTGGGCTTTCAGCTTGATGCCTTGTTCTTCAGGAGGGGATTCTGATTTACATGTTGTTAAAGTGGAAACGATCATTGTGTAAAATTTTGTTTCGTTTTCCAATGGAAAAACGCAACAGGAGTCGGGGATGCCAGTATTTCGGGGATACCAGTGAAGCAACTAACTACTTCTTCTTGTGCTGATGGCTCGTTCTGCTGGGGAACGAAGGGGTCAGTGTCGGGTAAAATAAAAATGAAAAAGTAAAAATGCCTTCGCAGTCGACGACCGCTATCTTGTGAAACTAGGAAGAGAATATTACTGCTACTGGTCTACAAGATTATGTCTAGTGCAATGTGAAGAAATGAGAGTGCAAAAAAATTTGTTTGTTTGTTTGCTTGCTTGTAGGAATACTTGAAAACGTGGTTTAGCAAGTTACAGCTGAGTGAAGTGCTTTCTGTGGCAGTTCTTTTGGCTGTAAAACGAGGCTATTTCAAAGTTACTGCTTGTTCATTTCGAAAGCTTTGCGAAGAAAAAATTTAGTTGTCTAAAAAAAAAACATGGTTTACGTACTTGATTTACTAGTGCGAAACAATATGAAGTTTTGAATTCACCCGAAGGGGCTTGGGTACTAATTGCGATCTGAAAAAAAAGTGTTGATAAAAAATTGCATTTGACCAGAACTATGTCTAGCCCCCACCATCAAGAATGCAATCCTTCCTCACGGCTGCGCAGGACGTTCCAGCTTCTTCAGCTTCTCCCCGCCCAGCAGCCCGCCGCCCCCAGCTTTCGCGGGGGAGAGCAGTTGCGTCATGAAGGGCCAGTTGTGGCGGCACCGGGCTTTTTTCACCTTCTTGCTGAGCATCGAGTCACAATCGTAGAACTCGATGTACACTTGCTCCCCAAACAGCGGTTGATCGAATTGCTCAATGTTGTGTTGCAGCCAAAACTGAAACCCCTTGGCCCGCTGGTACCGGTGAAAGCCCTGCGCGAGGGCGAACCGGCTCATGTCAAAAATCGTGGCAACAAAGCCTTCTTCCTTCCCCGTGACACAAAAATCCTCTTCCCAAAACCAACTGTCGTGGAATTGTCGCAGGTCTTTGGATTTTTCGTAAATTTCCACAAATTGCTCCACGCGTCGGTGCTTTTCGAGCGTGGCGCACCGGTCACCGATGTCCAGGGTCATGTGGATCTTGAAGCGGGGAAAATATGACAGTGCACAACCCCCCCTCCCCTTATTTGCATGTTGGCATGAGCAGCAACACAAATCCTGGCTGGCATAAATGCAGCTTTTGCATGACAAGTTCGCGACCGATTCTGGTGCTGTTTCGGCTTCCGGAATCTGTCATGCATAATAGTGACAGGAGAAAAAGCGTGGATCTGGTATTCTGCATGAGAAATGAGAACGAGGGGGAGTTGTGCACTGTCATAGAAAAACGTGGTTTTGCAGAAACTTCGGCACGTCGGAACCGTATTCGGTTTTCAAAACAGCAGGATTAAGGTTGTAATCCTCTTCCTTCCCGGTCAGAATGTCGTCCGGAAAATCGTACTTCTTCTCTTTCGCGTGACTCATCCATTCGTAGAGCGTGGATGGCATTTGCTCCCGCAGTTCAGTGGTCCACTGGTCGTCTTTCGGCTTTTCGCAGTGTCCCTTGTTGTCCACCGGCTGCTTCGGCCCCCGACAGTTCTCCAGCTTCCAATCCTTGGTAGTCCGCTCTTGGTTCAAATAGCCGAACGAACCCCCCTGGCCGTAGAGCACGTCGATGCGGTTCACGTGGTCGTGCGATTCGTCGTGCAACAGGTCGAGCGGCAGGTTGCTCATGAACGTGTACCGTTGCGCCATCTGCCCGCCGCGCCCCTTGCCCATGATGAATAGGGAACAAGCACACCGGCATTTTGTTCATCTGGCTGTGTAGTTCCTGCTGCTGCTTCGTGGTCCTCTTCGCTAACGAGACGAGGGGTTGAGGCTGCAACGGCCTTCGCGTTCTTCTTAGTACCTGTTTTTTTTGATTCGAAATTACTTTCGACAACAAAAGGCATGCAGAAAAACATAGCCTTAAAAACGACATAGAACAAGGATTGCTGTGGCTCCTACTTCTTCTGCGACGTTAATTTAAAGATCGATCGATAACAGTTCGTGCTGCTGCCTAAACTCAGTAAGCACGTGGACACCGACCATACGCTAGGTCGGGCACTCGGGTCCTGCATTCGTGATGCACAAGCAGGCACGACAGATTTCACGCCGAGATCATATGTCTCGGTGCGACGAAAGACTAGTACTCGCGAGCTGCTCCCGCGGGAGGGCTCACGCGCGGCGAGCGTGACATCGTGCGAATTGTTTTCGCACGCCTACTAAGCGAGTACTCATCTTCTTCTCTTTCGCGTGACTCATCCATTCGTAGAGCGTGGATGGCCATGCACTGCAAATATGTCTGGGTCTGGAAATTTGTGATGCTGAATTGCGCATGGTTGCAACGCTTGCAATGGCAGCCAAGTATGACAAGATTTGGGGACGCTTTCTGAAGATAGGCGCGAGGAAGGGCAGCGCGCGGCAAAAGCCGCATGCTGCCCTTCCTCCATCTGTTTTTAGTGTATTTGTTTGATGAAGCATCGCATGCGAAAGGTCGTAAAGCAACAAATGTCGGGACTGCTCTAAGACCATATTCCCCCCGGAACCCAAGCTCTGACATTGGTCGCGATGCAAAGACCCGCCCAACAAATAGTCCTGCAAGGTGTATAAACCTAGGACTCCAGTGTCAGGTGAGTGGACTGTAATTCAATTTATTTCCGCTAGCAGCCCGAAGACAAACAATCATACTCCCGTCAGGACCCGAATATAAATTTTGACATTGAAGGCTGCCTCAGATGTGCTATGAATAAAAACAAAACAATATAATCCCTGATCTTCCCGCACCCAACACCGCCACCGCACGCTTCTTCAGCAATATCCACGCCGCGGCCAGAAAGCACTGCGCGATCGTTGAAGTTTTGAACCAGGCTGGGTGCGCCTTCTGTACTGCAGCTGTCCTTCGCGGTCAGTAGGCCGCAATCATCAGTCGTTATCGCATAAGGCCGGTACCGGGTGGAGTACCGATGTGAAGGATGATGCTCTCGCCATCGGGGAGTTGAGGCAATGTCTCGATTATATTGAAACGCAGCAGCCGACATGTCCGATTCGGAAGATGACGTTTTGGCTTATGCAGATGCTTCTTGTCGCCGTCGGCTGCTGCGCAGCAGCAGGCTCGCCTTCATCATTCTCCGCCAGTGATTTCATTTTCTCCCTCGTCCGCTGCGCCGGCGTTCTCAGGTTTGTGCATATGAGATTTACATTACAGATTCACTACACTTCATCAGATTTGCATTACAGATTCATCCGTTTCCTTTGCATTACAGATTCATCCGTTTCAGATTTTACCTTTCCTTTCCTTTCTACCGTGGTGATTGGCGGAGCCTCTTACTCTAACCCTCGATAGACAGGAGCGGGCTTACATCTGTTCGCAGCCTGGCACACGACTAGGATAGAGCAGTGTGGACGCCTCTCTGACGTGGAAACACGCCTTTGCCCTAAACCCTGATCTATTTAGAAGTTTCTACAAGGTCATGATCTATGAATTTGTTTCTACCGACGCCACTATGTAAGTAAAGCCCTAAACCCGTATTAAATACAATTGTTAGTCGTAGGTCATGCCTGATTCCCGCGCTGCAGAGTTGGAGCATGTGGAAAGACTTTTTTTTGGATCTACAGGACCGATTTCTTTCTTTGTTTTCGCACCACGGCGTCAGTGGTTCTTGTAGTACTGAACAACAACAAAACCTACGCCAATACCCCTGCACTTGTTCAACTGCTGCATACGTCGGGTCATACATAGCTATTCTAGTGCCATGGGTCTCCACCATAATCCATGGTCTTTTTTCTTGTTGCATACAAACACTTTTTATCTACAGGGGGCGCTATGGGAGATCTGGGGCGGTGTATAAGCCTGCTAAGGCATACCTACTCACCCGGTTGAGCCTAGCCTCAGTACGTGTTAATTAGTGCGATCGAGGTTGCCTGTGAACAGGCGATATACTATTTTTTCTAGGTGGTTCAGACGTGCTGAGGAGCGTATCTACGTACTTCCTGCCTGCTGCGGTGGCAGCAGGCGCAACTTCGACCAGTGCAGGTTTTCATGGCTGAACATCAGCAGCCCCTGCGAGTGTCCTCTTCCCGACTTGGCGTGAGGAAGGGCAGCACGTGGCAAACGCCTCGCGCCACCCTTCCTCAACCTGTTATTATTTTGATTTTTAGATGAGGTATCGCATGGCAGGGTGACAAATCAACATGAACGTGAGAGCTACACTAAGACCATCTTCCCCCCGGAACCCAAGCTTGGATATTGGTCGCGATGCAAGTAGCTACAGCCCACCGCGCGACAAATAGTCCCGCCAGGTGTATGAACCTAGGACTCCAGTGCTGAGCAGATAGACTGCGCTGAAAAGTCTTCCGACAAGAAATACAAACGCTTTTTTTCCCGCCAGTAGCCCAGTGGCAGGCGATCATACTCTCACCGGAACCCACAATAAGTGACTTTGATCGCTGCCTCAAAAGAATATCACAAACATCTAGAAAAGTCAGTCCCTGATCATCCATCCCCCGCCGCAGTCTCCGCACGCTTGTTCAGCTCAGCCGGCCGTTGCCGCCCCTCGCCGCACTAGGACGGGAATTAGGTGGACGGGAATTAGGTGGTGATTGGCGTTGCCTCTTACTCAATCCCTCGATAGACAGACGCGGGTTTACATCTTTTCGCGAGCTGGCACACGACTAGGAAGGAGCAGTGTGGTCGCCTCTCAGGCCTGAACACAAGCCGGAACCCTAAACCAATTATGTATCAGCATTCTTACAAAAATGATCTGTAAACTATTTCCACTACTGCGTCTCTGTGTAAGTAAAAACCTTCTGAGCGTCTATCTGCCCAGATAGGTAGACTCGAAACTGAAGCCACGCACTCGCAACTCCAACTTCGGTCGTAAAATATTAGTGTGTTTGCGTTTAGCGTCTGTTGGAAACATTTTTAAGCAGACAACAGAACTAGGAGACTTGGGGACCATTGGTTAAACTAAAGAAAATTGGAGATCGTTGTGAAATGCGAGAAACTATAAAACTCACTTACTTTAAACCTTGGGAGTCGCTGTATTAGTTTAAAACTTGGAGCATGGTATAGTAAAGTTCCAGATTTTTGCAGACAAATTCCTTGAAGTCCTCGCCTTAGATAGCGCGGATTGTCCACCATACCATGGGGACAAGGCGCGCTGTTTGGACTTACAAAGTACCAGAAAAATGAACCATAGCGCCGGCGTTTGGTGCATTGCTTCCTGCTTTGGAGGCTAGAGCAAGATGATCAAGATACGCTACTAAAACGGAATCGATACACAGGTCTAAACAAATAGAAATAACATGAAAAACGTCGGGCCTCACGGCTATAGTGCAAAGAGAGCATGTGTGGTCGCTCGAACTGGCTCACTTCGCAGCACCGTCCTTCGAGACCGATGCTATAATATTTCGGTCGAAAGAGAAAAGGAAAAAGTAAAAAAAAGGGGAAAAGACAAGCTGCAACACGCTTGGCTTTTATATAGACAGCGTTCTTTTTTTTTTGTGTTTTTTGTATACAGTATGCTTTTCTAGACTAACTTGCACTCAGACCACATCGTCCACTACGCCTTTCTTCTTTCTCGGTTTCCGTCGTGATTTCGTATCTGCGATAAACGGGGCCGGGTCAACTAGGATCTGCGTCTTGAGGGCTATCGCTGCTTCGAGGGCAAGCGTAGCGCTATTGCCATAGGCGGCAGGGTCGATGGTACGCGACACGGTGTGCTTCGAGCCGTCTGGCAATCTCGCATTCGTCACCTTGACTTGTAGCACTCCCCCCCGTCGTCGATCGGCGGCTCCAGGTATCTTCGTATTCCACGTTCGTACGAGGTGCTGTGGTTTCAGAGCGAAGACGATTTGCATAACGAAAGAAAGTTTACTTACCACCAAAACACGACAATGACAAGACCATGGACGTCGCGAACGAGGTTATTTTTTGTAGTGATTGACGATTCCATTTTTGTTTTGAACAACATTTTTACTTTCTCAGGAATGATGCGAGACGATAACCGCAAGCACCGGCGGCAGGTCCTGCCGTCACCTTCACGGAAAATCAGTGGGCCCAGTGAAAACGAATAAATAGCACGGGGAGTAAACTGTTGACTTAGAGTTTGTCTTCGGGATCGGGGGTTCATCTACTCATTCCATTGTGACGCATATCTGGAACGAACGTCTAGCCTAGACAGGTCCATTCTTTTTCCTAGTACGTCTTTCTAACTTTTCAAAAACCAAAAAATCAAAGTAGGGTTGTTTGTGAAACTGAATAAAATCATAAACGGGAAGATGATCGGGGTGGTCGTCTGACAGAGCCTAACGGTAAAAAAGTTGAATCAAGTCGTCGTGTTTTTGATATACTTTTCTAATGTACAAGTTTGAAAAAAGAAATCGCATCTTATGCACTTAGTCTTTCTCACACCCAAAACTCCAGGCGCATCATCAGGCCGGGGGAGTACATGCTGTGCATCTCCGGCGGCCGCGTTCCGGGGTCCTGCTGCTCCGGCTGCTCTTCGTCCTCGCTCTCCGAGTCTTCATCCTCCGCACTCGCGTCCTTTTGTTCCCCCGCGGCGCCTTCCAACTGCAACTTGTCACCGGCTGCAGGAGCAGCTCCAGCTGCTTGCTGTTCCGGTCCCATCTTCATCGAGGCTGCTGCGTCGGCTTTGCTCGCCTCACCCTGCTTCTGCTCAAGAGCTGCAGCGGAATCCGACGAACTGCCCTCCTGCATGAGCTTGCTCCAAGCCCCTGCTTGCTCAGGAGCTTGATTTCCGTCCTCGGAAGAGGTAGAGGTGGCCGTGCTTTGCACCTCCGCAGATGATTCCTCCGTGGTCACCGCCCCGTCGAGTTGGTCGATAACAAAGTCCTGCGGGTGGTTCCCAAACCCCTCGGCCCCTTGCACCAAAATCTTCTTCAGAAACGGCGTGGCGAAGTCTTGTTTTTTGTTGTTCATCCCGTTTTGGTTTTTCATCTTCCCACCATGTTGTTTCTGCGCCTTAGAACTTCCGCCGCGGGTTCTTGCAACAGTAGAAGACCTCGCCGGGTCTGCGACACGGTGTGGCGTGTTGGGGACAGAAGATTTTTGCGCGAATACAAGAACCCCGGTCTTTGTCATGGAAAATAGCGGGATGGATAGGGCAAGGAGTTGCCGCGCCGAGGGTCGACATGGTCCTCCCATGCTGGTTCTGAAGTTCATACTGCCGGCTTCCCGCTCCAGCTGGAAAAATTGGCAACTGTTGCTGGAGCTCTTCAGGATCGGGGTGTAATAGATGACACTAGGTTTTACATGAGAAGGCAACTAAACAAGAAGAAAAAGGCGAAGCTTCGCGTCGAGAACTACAGAGAAAACCAAAGGAGAGAAGAGGACGAAAAACTAAGATTTTTCAGATACTGTCAAAAATGGGGGGAGTTGTACCTGCGTTTTGGGGCTAACATTCGTCCTGTTCGATGGTATTTAAGAGAAGAGATTTGGTGTGAAGATCTTCAGCAAAAATCAAAATGTCAAGGAGCAAAACCAATCAGCACTTCCACCGATCTCTTTGTGAGACGGAGAATGTTCTTGCCTCTGGTTTGTGTACAAAAATGTGTTGGACGAAAAATGGAGTGACTTGATCTATCATGCAAGGACGACATTTCGTAGTTTTCTACTGGACGACAGTACGCAAGGCCGACATTTCGTCACCTGGCACTGGAGCTGGACGAAGACGAGGAAAGGAAGCTACAATAAAATTTCTTCCACGAAAACCGAAATACATGTTCTTCCTATAGAACAACTTCTACCGATGATGAAACACTGTTATTTCTACGACGGTGCTAGGGCAACATTCTACGTTTCAATTCAAACAGAACCAACGAATGTAAATGTAGTAGAGTCCTCAACCGATGATGTTACTCGTACACGTACTCGACGCTACTTACCGTTTTTACTTTTTCTTGTTGCAGTTGCAGTTTTGGTTTTGCGCTGTTGCTGGTAATACTAAATTCTTGGGGGAAAGAATGTTCAAAAGTCATCCGCTTGAGCAACCGACTCACGGCAGGCGCGAGCAATTACTTAAATGCAAGCAGATAGAGCGAGCGCGAGCGCCCCGCGCGGCCTTGGGCTGCGCTGTCTGGATCTCCTGGGCGGCTGCGCGGGCGCGCTGCGCCACTTGCTGCAATGCGCAGGCGGTTCGCTTCGCAAGCGGGGCCGGCAGGCGGCCGGGCCATCAAAAAGAGCGGCGCCCCCAGTTCCCAGGCCCTCAACTTCGCCGCGCGCCTGGAGGGCGCCACGGTAGGTGGCGCTCCGGGAGGATAGCGCCGCGAGACCTGCCGCGCCTCCAAGTGGGCCCGGCAAAATCGGGCCGCGCCGGTTTTCCATTCAGCGCAAACCCAAAAAAGGGAGCGCGGGGGGGTTGCGGGCCCAAGATTTCGAGCCCTATCTATCTGTCTACTGTGCGCACAAAGGAGCTCACGCGCGGGCTGGAGCCCACAAAAATGGAGAACGTGCTGGCTTGGGGGGCTTCAGCTTCGTCCTTTCTTGGGTTGTGGCTTCGGCGTTCTTCAAAGGTTGCGGCAAAATTCAAGAAAATGCGCGAAGCCCGCTGGCTTCGGGTTCAGGAGCTTGGGAGAATGCGTCGAAACCCCAAAAAATAGCGACAGCTGCCCTGTCTTCGGGCGGGGGCGCTAAAAAATGCAAACGCAACAAATAAGCTCACGGAAGTGCGCGTGCCTCCTTGGCTTGGGGCTTGGATGTGTACAAAATTGCCGCTAAACCCCAGAACACGCGCGAGTTTTTTTGATTTAGGGTTTGGGTGTTTGAAAAATTGCGCCAAAAACCGAAGCAAATGCGAAAAATCCTCTTGATTCACCACACCAACTGCACCGGAGCCCAGGAAAGTGCGCGAATTTTCTTGGCTTTGGGTTTACGTGTTTGAAAATCACGACATTTCGTGACCTGGCACTGGAGCTGGACGAAGACGAGAGGAAGCTATGAGATTTACATTACAGATTCACTACACTTCATCAGATTTGCATTACAGATTCATCCGTTTCCTTTGCATTACAGATTCATCCGTTTCAGATTTTACCTTTCCTTTCCTTTCTACCGTGGTGATTGGCGGAGCCTCTTACTCTAACCCTCGATAGACAGGAGCGGGCTTACATCTGTTCGCAGCCTGGCACACGACTAGGATAGAGCAGTGTGGACGCCTCTCTGACGTGGAAACACGCCTTTGCCCTAAACCCTGATCTATTTAGAAGTTTCTACAAGGTCATGATCTATGAATTTGTTTCTACCGACGCCACTATGTAAGTAAAGCCCTAAACCCGTATTAAATACAATTGTTAGTCGTAGGTCATGCCTGATTCCCGCGCTGCAGAGTTGGAGCATGTGGAAAGACTTTTTTTTGGATCTACAGGACCGATTTCTTTCTTTGTTTTCGCACCACGGCGTCAGTGGTTCTTGTAGTACTGAACAACAACAAAACCTACGCCAATACCCCTGCACTTGTTCAACTGCTGCATACGTCGGGTCATACATAGCTATTCTAGTGCCATGGGTCTCCACCATAATCCATGGTCTTTTTTCTTGTTGCATACAAACACTTTTTATCTACAGGGGGCGCTATGGGAGATCTGGGGCGGTGTCTAAGCCTGCTAAGGCATACCTACTCACCCGATTGAGCCTAGCCTCAGTACGTGTTAATTAGTGCGATCGAGGTTGCCTGTGAACAGGCGATATACTATATTTTCTAGGCGGTTCAGACGTGCTGAGGCGCGTATCTACGTACTTCCTGCCTGCTGCGGTGGCAGCAGGCGCAACTTCGACCAGTGCAGGTTTTCATGGCTGAACATCAGCAGCCCCTGCGAGTGTCCTCTTCCCGACTTGGCGTGAGGAAGGGCAGCACGTGGCAAACGCCTCGCGCCACCCTTCCTCAACCTGTTATTATTTTGATTTTTAGATGAGGTATCGCATGGCAGGGTGACAAATCAACATGAACGTGAGAGCTACACTAAGACCATCTTCCCCCCGGAACCCAAGCTTGGATATTGGTCGCGATGCAAGTAGCTACAGCCCACCGCGCGACAAATAGTCCCGCCAGGTGTATGAACCTAGGACTCCAGTGCTGAGCAGATAGACTGCGCTGAAAAGTCTTCCGACAAGAAATACAAACGCTTTTTTTCCCGCTAGTAGCCCAGTGAGCAGTACGTGTTTGAAAATCACGACATTTCGTCACCTGGCACTGGAGCTGGACGAAGACGAGGAAAGGAAGCTACAATAAAATTTCTTGCACGAGGAACCGAAAATGTTCTTCCTGGCAGCGCGTAGCAAGTGTGCGCGGTGTCGTGGGCAGGAGCGCCTCTACTCTGGATAAGGTGCTTCGTAGCTCTGCCACCCGTAACCAGGCTCAGGTTCCAAATTGTTTTCCGCCAACCAAGCCGCATGCCGTGCCTCCATTTCCATTTGTCGGGCGATGTATGCCGCCGTCGTCGATTTCGCTCTCCATGCTTTTCTATGCAATGCAAATATCGATATCCTGTGTGGATGTGGACAAGAACATTTGTGATCATGCTGATACTCGTCGCATCGCAGACTATGACTAGCCGCTTGCGGGGCAGTGCAACTACATCAGCTCCTGTTTCGTTCATTTTTGAAACTTATTGCACGTTCTTGCAATCCCAAAAAAACGTATGTGAATAACTGAGTTTCACAGCATGACCAAAGAACTCGACACTCCTATCAATGCAACACAGGAAATTATCTAATGGTAGTGTTCCTTCACATTTTGCCTCGCAAATCCAGAAGTGCAGCTCCTGACAACGGTATTTGCAATACATATTCATGATCCGCATTCCACGCTGCACTGGCGGCTTTTTCCTCTGCAAGCACCGCCGTTTCTTTCTTCCTCCGCGCCCACAATGCAGACTCCGCGGCCCTCCCAGCCTCAAGCCATGCGTAACCGGCATCGGTTTCGGCCTCGGTGTTGTTGTGGTTAACCTCAGCCGACCACTTCGCATATTCAGCACGCTCTGCTGCGTCCTCCGCGACTGCTTGTGCTTCGAGTGCGATGCTCAAGGATTTTTCAACTTTCGTCGTGTACAAATAACGAACGAAAACCGACTGTACAACGACACCGAGTAATAAATATCCTTTTGCACGAAACAGTGGGGAAGCAACAACTGGCGTACCTACGGGTGACGGAGAGCAGGGAACAAGTGAAACAAATGAATGTAGGTATACGGTCTGATGTACTTAGTACCTCCGGCGGGCGGTAATCAACAACTCTGCCTGACGTTGTCGTTGACTCATGCGCATCTGCATGTGCATCTGAAAGAAGAAGCGTACTTATCCATAGCCCATCATGGCATCTTCGTGCACCTTGATGTTGAGTCGAATATGAAAATGATTCGCCTGGTTCTTCGGCTCAACACCATGGTGCTTTTTTCTTCTTCATGCACGTGGAAGTTGACAGACGGATCTTGGGGGGAGGTACTTACAACTCCATCTGGGGGTTGCCGCGACGATTAGATTTAGAATTGCTTGCCAATTCTTTCGTGTTCGACTCACTTTCGTTTTCTGGAATTGTAGTGCTGAACGTCTGTGTCTGTCCCTGTTTTGGAGAGCGAGACAGAAAGCCTCGTTTTCTACTGCTGAGGAGAGGTGTTCGTAACGTAAACTCTTTGCACACGACCTGGGGAATGTACGCGAAGACAAACAAGATGAACATTATCATCTACCTACAAAAAATACAAGCAAACTAGTTTCTTCTTCTCGTGCTGGGGATTCCTAACAAAAAATTGGGTGGTGTTGGGATCATAGAAGGAATGGGTGCTACTTGGGAGTGTCGGAGACCGACACATTGGACCGTGCCGGGAGAATAGTAGAGATATTCAAGTTCACTACAAGTTGTTTCGACGATGAAATATCGGAAAAAAAAACTGCTTTGCACAATAATTTTCATTTCGAATACTTCAGAATCTGAAAGAATACCGGCCTCGCCATGCAATAAAGTACTCCCGCTTCCCAGCCGCGCGGGCATCAATTTTTATTTCCTCATCTCTACTCGACCTAACAACAGCCGGCTCCTTGCTCCTCCTCCTCGTCTCCGCCGCTTTCCACGGAGGACCCCAGCATCGCTGGGGCCCCCAGCATCGGAGGAGGCAACGTACTTCCTCCCTCCCCGCCCCCACCCGCAATTTTAACCGCTCCCGTCGCTTCCTGTTCCTGCATGGCCTCCGCCGGTGCCGCGTGCCCCTGAAGGTCTCCAAATTTGACGCCAGGAGGCACAGTTGTACTGTTCTCATCTTCATCCACGACTCCGCTCCCCTCGGCAATCGTCGTTGTGGATTCATCTTTTGCTTCCTCCCCCTCCTCAGCGGGAACAACCGGCGTGGTAGCGACCTTTTTCATCACATGCGAAAAACCGAATAAACTTGAGTTGTACTTCGTATCAGTGACACAATGTACTAGTATTTTCAATTTGAGCAGACATCAAAAGTTGTTGTTCCTAAATGTAAATTCACATCATGATTATGATTAACACAGTTACAGTAGCAAGAACATAAACATCATCAAGTCTATGAAAATTATACCAAAGCTCCCTGTTCTTCCTGTGCCATTTTTGCCGCCTGCTCCTCTTCGTCCTTGTATTTTTGTTTCTGCTCCGCAATCGTATGGCTTGCTCAGGTGTTACAATCTCAAGCATTACGAATAGAATCTGGAATTTGTCTTGCATGAACAGCATGAGTACCATGCATAGACTTGCGCTTTTCGCATTACAGGTTTCGCTGGAAGATTCTAGGGGTGTTTTTGGGTTCCTGAACTTGTCATGCGTATAATTTCTGTGAGAAGAGGCCGGATCATGTTGCACCTTTTGCATCACAAATCTGCATTTCTCTTATGTAACGTTTGAGACCGTAACACCTGAGAGGGCCATAAATAGTCGCTGCCTTTTCCGCAGCCGCATCCGCGTCGACAAAGGCTCGCGTCGCTCGGGCCGATGCAGTCTGCACGGAATTTTTCGCGTCCTCCGCTTGGTCCGCCAAAGCAGAAACCTCTGCGGCAGCGGTTGCCAGGCTCGGCTGTTGATTCGCGACGATCTCCTTCGCTTCTTCCGCTGTTGCCCGCGCGTTCCCCGCGGCAACGACGGCTTTCTCCTCTTCCCCGACTGCGGTCTCCTTCGCAATCAGTGCCGCTCTTGCTGCGTCCGCGGCTTTCTCAGCCGCTTTTTTCGCGGCCTCGGCGGCCGTGACGGAACCAGATTGAGCGTTTAGTTTTTATCAAGTGCAAACATGTCTACTGGGTCTGGAACTTTGCTCGACTTGTCATGCAGGTTTTCCATGACCCATATGATCTGTAGTGGAGGACCTAGCATGATGACAGATTCCGTGAGATCACTATCATGCCTATCCTGCATGAGAAACTGCCTCTCAACTTGATCAAAAGCGGGCAGCATTTGGTAATCGTAATCCTGCAACACAGACTTTTGCATGATTCAGATTTAGCATGACAAGTTCCAACCTTCCAGACCCAGACATTTTTCTACTGCATAGTTTTTCTCCCACCGCACTTCGTTTCTGCTTTTCAGCCTCACGCGCTGCTTCCTCCGCGGTTGCTTGTGCGGTAATTGCGGTTTGTCACGAGTTGTCGGCTTTTGTTTTCAGAAATTCGATTTTTCTAGTCGCCGATTGAAGTGCCAAGTCGACCTCCGAAGGTTCTGGCGTAGTTGACACGACAGGTCGTGTATCAAACAAAAACAGTTCGTCACGATCACTCATGCGCATTTTTGCAATACAAAACTTTCTGTCTTGCGTAAAAATGCATCACAGCCGAACTTCATAAGGGATTTCCCTAGTGTTTCTGCAATACAAGAAAACTTTGTGATGCTAAAAAAATTTGTAATGCAAACCCTGCAAGTTAGTGACTGTGACAAACTTTTTTCTCTCCATATCGTGTGCTGATTATCCCGCCCGGTGTAAGTTTCGTTGCCTGTGTTCGGAGGAGACCATGAATTTGTTCGTCCTCTTCCTGCCCGGGCACAGCAGCTGCTGGTGCTGGTGCTGCTAAAAGGTGTTTCATAAAGTCCAGGTTGTGCCGACATTTTTTACTTCCGCTCATGTACTGATCGCAGTTGTACACTTGGAAATTGTTGCTCAAGTACTCGTCTTTGATGTTGTTTTTACCCGCAACATCTTCAGAGTTCATCTCCGGATGAACATCAACTAGATCGTCGACAATTTTATCCACTTTCTCCCGCATCCAAAACTCCCAGGCCTTCGCCCGCTGAAACCGGTGGAGTCCCTGCGAAAACGCCAGTCTAGAAACGTCGGTTTCCTTCGCGGAGAACGACGCACTACTGGCAGTCTATTACAGTGAAAAGTGCCCCCACCCCGGAATTTGCAGAAGTTTGTCATGCAAAGTTTCCAAATGAAAGCTTTTTGTCTTGCATAAAAGGATTGCGAGCGCTTCTGATGCAGAATCTGGGTGCGCAAGGTGCCTTGTGCATAAGAGATCCGGCTGCTGTTGGGCTACTTCGCAACACAAATTTGGCCTATTCAGCATAGAAAATTTGTGATGCTGATAGATGCAAGAGGGCGAATGTTTCATTTGGAGAGGTTTGCAATACAAATGCTCCCAAGTTCGGGGGTGGCGGCATTTTTCATTGTAATACAGTAGTGCAGAAACCCTTTTCGTACAGCCACTCGGAATGGTGATCCTTTAGTTTCTTCGAGTCGTCGTAAATCTTCTTGAAAACTTCATCCAAAACCTCCGGCTCGTGTTTGTGCAGTGCCGTGCAGCGGTCGTTGGGATCGATAGTGAAGTGAAGTTTGAACCGGGGAAAAACGTGCTCGTGGAGGTACTGCTCTGGTTCTTGTGCAAGTCCTGACGAAGAAGTCGAAGACGCGTATTTTGATTGTGGAAGCTGCTGTAGCAAATAATTCTCCGTCTCCCCCTGCAGCACGTTGTCCGCGAAATCGTACTTTTCTTCTTTCGTTTTGGAAAACCACGCGTACAGCAAATTCGAACCTTGCGCCGTTTCCGGCAGTTCTTGTTTCAGCGTTTCGGTCCAATCATTTTCGCCTGGTGGATCACACTTGTTTTTCCCGTTATTTTCGTTCGGGCCCTATCCAAGACAAAAACATTGTAGGTCGTGTAACTTTTTTGAAGGAACAGCATTACAAATTTGTCTGGCATGACAGCAAAAACCTGTCATGCGCAGAGAGTACGTGAAAACGTCCTTTAATGGGCCCTACGATGCAGACCAAGCATGACAGACGCAATCGTCTTGCATGTTGCGCATCACAAATTTACACTAACAACGTTTTTTTCTTGGATAGGCCCCGGCAGTTTTTTAGTTTCCAGTCTCCCGTGGTTCTTTTCGCATCCAAGTAGCCGTAGGAATTCTTATCGAATGCAAATATGAGTCTGGGCCTGGAATTTGTGATGCGGAGTCTCGACAACACAAAAATCTGTGTTGCATTTATTAAACACAGCAAAAGATCGCCGCTTTTTGTCTCCAGGAGGACCAGAGGGAACTTCTCATGCAGCCGAGGCATGGAGAAGCCCTCGCTAAATTTTTTGTCATGCTCTGTGAACATTCCGCATTCACTCGTAAATGCTAAAACTGCATGACAAGCATTCGCTTTGTTCATCCACGCCCAGAAATATTTGCAGTTGATAATTCTCCTGCCCGAAAAGAATATCGATGCGGTTGACGTGGGTAGACGAATCTTCGTCTTGTAACGAAAATACATCAAAATTGCTCATCATCGCATACCGCTGTCCCGCTTGGCCGACGATCAAAATTTGAGTTTTCACCCGGGGGATTAGTTTCTCGATCATCAGGTCCAAAATTTCAAACGAAGTCTTCTGCAGCCCGGCGTTGGTCGATTTGTGCCCGTGGTGGGCGTGGAATAAAGAACCGTCGACTCCGTACGGCGTATCCTCTAGTTCGTTTCCCCACATGAAATACCGATGTTCAATGTCGTAGTCCGTGTCCGGGCGAAAATACGGGACGATCAAATGGGTTTGCCCATCTTCCGTGACATCTGCGTAAGGATTCTCATTTTTGAACCATTTTGCCCACTCGTTGCAGGTTTCCTTCGTTTGTTTTTTCGACACGTTTCTAGTGTACTCCGGCTGGAGAATAATCACGACCCGGTGTAACTTGTGTTGCTTCCATGATTCTAATTTACTGTCGTGGAGTAATCCAACGCCTTTCGGAAGAGTGACGTAGGTTTCGAACGATCGGTTTTCGAGAAAGTCGCCGTTTGTGTCTGTTATCATGGAGAACTTCACGCTGTGGTAGTTGCAGTCTTCGTTTTCCCAGAAGGTTCTCGCTGGCGCGGGTAAAGGTTCGACGGTCGATGTTGGTGCGACGGTCGCATGGGCAGCGACCAACGTTGGAGTGGGTGGCAATCGGCCGAGTTTGAACTGTTTTTGTCTTGTTCTTTCGGTAAAGGATTGATTTTCATCTCCATCCGACTCCGCGGTAGTTCTGGCTTCGGAATAAACAGGAGAAGATAATGAAGTAGTTGATGCTGTAGCCAGGACGACCTGAGCAGGACGAGCTGCAGTGTCTGTAGTTGCTGATTCCTTTTCTTGAAGAAGCGATTTTTTCTTCCCCTTGCGCCTGTTCAACAGAGGCAAGCTTTTCTGTGTTCTTCCCACTTCATTTCGCTTGTTCACGTTTGTACCTTTCTGCAGAAGCGGCGTCGCGGATGAAGGAGTGCTTGGCGGCTGTTTTTCACTATCCCCGTGCACGGTCGGAGTGCTGCTCCCATTATTTCCAGGCATTCGCAGACCCTGCGCCGCTAGAGATGGCAACACCAGCGCGCGCCGCATCGCTCGCCTCGGGACCGGACTGCGCAATAAATTTGGACGTTTCATTTCGACGCCGGCCCGGTCGTCCAGAACTCCAGCAGAAAAATTTCGTAGTACAATGTTAAGAACCGACGATCCAGGTGGGCTGGCTGCGAAAGTTCTTCTTTTTTCTGCTAGGCCTGCGAAAAAAGAATGTACTTACCTACTTATGTAGCAGGTCTAAGCGTTAGAAAAGAACAACACTTCTTGCCACACGTACGTAGTTGTTGTAACAAATCTTGGGTACTACAAAGAGACACACCAATCTTGCTCTTGGAAGGAACCTGTGAATAAAGATGAAGATCAACGACAACGGATTTATTGTTGCACAATAATTACCAATAGGTCTAGGACTAGGCTCAACAGCTCACCGTGTAGTTCATTGCCCAACATAGCAGATCTTCAACGTGCACCGCGACAAAGAGGACGAAAAGAATGCGACAAAGCAGGACGATAGATTTTGACCAAAGTGCAACAAGCGGTCTGAGCACACGAGCTACTGCTGCACGATTTGAACGATCGTTGCACGATGAAAAAATGATGGCGATGAGGAGAAATTTTATGCACGAGTCGTAAGAAGTCGTGTATGGATGGGATGCGTCAAGGATAGTGTGAACTCCAAGATGCCAAACTAGATTTGCACAATCAAAGCACATATCATGTTGGCGGTGGTACACATGTAGTTGTCGACAAAGAAGTGTTTTTTTCTTGTAATTCTAATAGCCTTATGTACAGTGGTGGCAAAGGTTCATTCTTCATCTTCTTGGAAACACTAAAATCTGTATTCTCATTCTTCTTCTCGCTGAGGACATAGTAGGTACTACTACCATCTATCCATAACATACATAGCATTTAGCATTCTCCGTTTATCGTTCTGAATTCTGTGCAAATTCTCCGAAATAACGAATAAACTGATAGGTTTCTACTTGCCTTTTATTTCAGAACGGGCGCGCAGCTAGAAATACCGCGCCACGTCGCTCTGCTGGGCAAGTTGTGATTAACGCAAATTACGATTAAAAATTTGTATACGATTGAAAGCAAATTTTTCCGATTGTCAAGTAGTAAAGCAAATTTACGATTAAAAGTTTGTATAAAAAGCTGCTATGTTCTCAGGATAGTCAGCTTTTTCACGTGAATTTCCCGATCCCACCAGGTGCATGGAACGGGACTACGTGCCAGTACTACAGGTACTGCTACTGTGCAATATTTTTCGCTATATTTTTTCGATTTAGTCTGGGTGAATCTGAATACAAAACATTTTTGTGGAATTTTTTCTTTAAGCATTAGCATTTGAAACATTTGACTCAACGTGGTTGCAACTAGGAAGTATAAACGTGTTTAAAGCAGAATAGGTTGAAGCACATCCCGCACACATGGGCGTGCTGACATCATCTGCGCTAATTTTCGTGGAAATGTTACCGGTTCTTGGTTTCTTCGATCATATCGATTGTGATTGATTGCTTTAAACAAAAATTGGACATTTCAAAGAATGATAATTTGAGTTTCTATTTACTATTTTTGTGACACACTATAGGACGGCGTCTTGTACTAGGGAACAGAAAGGCTTTCCACAACAAGACTGAAGAAACCTCCCCGTCGTGTAAGTACACAATTTATGCGTTGAAAGTCGACTCCAGCAGGCTCATGACCTGCTTGTTATTCTTCCCAGTTTCCCCGCCTTGTTTTTTATTCCCCATCCTCGACTCGGGCTTCAGCGAGTTCGCGAAAAACTCCGGCTTTTCCGCGACTAACGTGTCCACCAGGTCTTTCAAATTGTCGATTTTGTAGACCTTCTTCTTCCCACCCGGTTTCGCCGTATCGGTGAACCCTTTAACCGCGATTTGCTTCTCGCTGTCCGTGAGTTTCATTCCGTTCTCGCCGTCATCTGTGGTCGCCATCGCGTACGCTATCCTTTTCGCCGTCCCCTTCCCGAAGCCGATGTGCTGCAACGCCTTCTCGGCTTATCCCGTGCAAAAACGTCCCCAGCCCAGAGTTGTAATCTGTAATGCAAATCTGTATGCTTAAAATGTTTCTCATGCAGAGCAGACACATGAGAAGCAATTTCTAGAAGTGTTTTGAGATTCGTGATGCTCGAATCAGCATGATGTGCTAGATCAGTGATGCAGCTTCTACACTAGCTACAGACGAGCGATTACAGTGCATGCCCAAGAACTTCCTTACTTTGTCATGCACAACAACCAAAGCTTCTTGATTTGTGTAGCAGATTTCCCATCTTAACTCTGGGGTTGTGACGTTTTTACTCAGGATACGGCTTCCCTCATCATCACTTCTTGCGGTGTGAGTTCCGGGGGCCCGGGGGTATACCCTGTTGGTTCAGGACCGGTGTCTGGGTATTCTACCTGTGCGGTTTGCGGCCCCTTATTTTCGGTTTTCTTCTTCTTTGTTGTGGCTCCCTTCTTGGTGATTTTTTTCTTCTTTCCCGCACTCTCCCCCGTATCAAATGTAAAAATGTCTGGGTCTGGAAAGTTGGAACTTGTGATGCTAACTTTGGACTCTAAAAAAATCTGTATTGCATGACCAGCAAGAGGAGCCACGTTTGTGCTACACGAGGAGGGCATTTGTCATGCGGAAATGGCATCAGGAAGCTTTCCAAAAATCTGTGATGCTGGGTCATGCGTTACAAGCATCATGGGTCATGCCAGACAAGCATGACAAGCCTTCCACTCTTCCAGACCCAGACACTTTTACATTTGATACCCCGAATGGGAATGGGAATCCTCCTCGCCCCCGCTTTCCTCCGAAGAAGCGGTGCCGGATGCAGCTGTAGTTTTTGGCTTCACGCTGGGCTTCTTCTTGTGCACGATCTTTTTCTTTTTTTTCGTTTTAGTTGTTCCGCCAAGCAATCCCGTTCCCTCTGAGTCTTCCGCACCACTTTCCTCCGCACTGCCGGAAGACTCAGTCGTTGCTTGAGAAGCATCCGTATGAACTGCAAAAGTATCGTACTCGTATAAATGCATTACAAATTTCCTCAGCATGAGAAATAAGATTTGTAATGCGGATTTGACTTAACAAAAAGATTTGTAATGCATGATTGCAATACGAATACGATGCTTTTGCACAGGATAGTCCGACGCTAAAGAACCAACCGCTTTGCTGCTGAGTTTTGATGTTTTACTGGTCGTTTTCTTGCTCCTATCCCACGAAAAAAGTGTTACAGTTACACATGTGTAGTGAATTCAGCAAGACAAATTTCTCTGCATGAGAGAGAAAACTTGTAATGCAGAAATCCTACGGGAAAACACCTATGAAACGAGGCTCCTATGCATATCCGGCATGACAGAGCTTGCCTCTCTTGCTTGGTCTGCAACACAATGTGTAACCGTAACACTTTTTTCTTTGCATAGCCCCCGGTAGTGGTCTTTTTCTTCTTCTTTTTCAGCAAACTTTTACCTTCGCTGTCCATTTCTGAACCCCCGGACGAATCTGTGGACTGCGCCGATTTAACAGAAGATAACCCGAGTTGTTGTGATAATCCTGATACGGTGCCCGATGTTCCACTGGTTGCGCCTGTCCACATGCTGTCCTTCATCTTTATCGTGACGCTAGTCGGGCCCTTATCCTCTCTAAAAACGTCCCCACGACCCCATCGTTGTCATGCAGGTTTGCAATGACAGGAGTCGATTTGTTGCGCATCTAGTACAACATGAGAAGAATTTATTCCAATCGTGTTTTGGTATTTGTAATCCTGATGTAAACAGGATAAGGAGATGGGTTTGTGATGCGAATGTCCCTGCTAACCTGCACTACACTACACAGACGAACTTGTCATGCATGGTTCCCAAAACTCCTGGATTTGTGTTGCAGAGTTCGCAACTTGACTACGGGAAGATGGGGACGTTTTTACATAAGATACCCCTCGGGCTCGCTGTCGTCGACGTCCACACCGAGTTTTCCGTCCGAATCTGGCTCTTCGTTCAGCACTTGCCCGAGATCGTATGAAGGTGCACAACTCCCCCTCCCCTGCATTTGTTGTATGGCATCAAGAGCATTACAAACACCAGTACAGGTGGACCCTGTGCATGACAAGTTCATCATGCGCCGAGCGTGGCACTGTTTGGATTATTCTGGAATTTGTCATGCACGCGGTCCCACAAGGTAGCAACTGGATTTGGGTTTTTGCATGACAAAAAATGACGAGGAGTTGTGCACTGTCATAGGTCGAGACTTATCCGTTCCTGCACAATGTCCCTCTTCGCCTTTTCGTGCATCTGCTTTTCGAGTTGTTTCTCAAAGCTTGTTATGAGCTGCAAAAGCATCGTACTAGTAGCAATTGCAATACAAATTAGCCCAACATGATAAATGGCATTTGTCATGCTGTTTTACCTTGGGATGGAGATTTGTAATGCATGACTGCGATTACTACGAGTACGATACTTTTGCACAGGATACTCGTGTGGCCGATGAAGTCCTTCTGCGCGATTTTCTTGTCCTTCTCGCTCATGTCATCGAATTTGAACTTGATCGGTTTCATCATTTGAAAGCCTTATCCAGGAAAAAAACTGTGTAAGTGTAACTTTTTAGGAAAAACATCACAAGTTCGTTTTGCACGACAGGGAAAACCTGTCATGCGCAGCTAGCACGTGGAAACATGCATGAAAGTTGCCTATGACACACATCCAGCATGACAAGCGTATACAGTTTTGCATTTCCTGCATCACAGACTATACACTTACACACTTTTTTTCTTGCATAACCCTTGAATCACGTGCACTTTCTCCGCGCTCCCGGTCACACTGATACTCGCCTTCTCTTCCTTCGCCACCCCCAAATCTTGGAACGAACTCCTATGCAGTGCAAAAGTACTATCGTACTCGTAGTAATCGCAGTTATGCATTACAAATCTTTTTCCTAAGGTCAATCAGCATTACAAATTCCATTTCTCACGCTGAGGAAATTTGTAATGCAATTCATACTAGTACGATGCTTTTGCAATTCATAACTCCCCCGCTGTACCGGTTTTTTCAAACGACCGCCCCCTTGCTCAAAAAGGTGCACTTCGGAGGCCTTCCCGTCGTATGGATTGTAAAAATGTCTGGGTCTGGAAGCTTGTGATGCTGGGTGGCGTATCATGAAGAGGCCACAAGTGCTGGCCCAGCATGACAAGCTTTTGAGCTTCTAGGTGTTGCCTATTCTGCATGACAAACTGTGTTTCTGCATGACAGCAAAGTGGGGCTCTTGGGCAACGTGCAGGATAGACTTAAGAGTCATGCCAGACAAGCATGACAAACATGCACTCTTCCAGACCCAGACATTTTTGCATTTGAT